TTTTTTTTTTTCACATGAACGGGGGTATATAACAGGACCGGGTTGGAAGCCGTTTTGCAACATGGGACAATTCAGCCATCCATTCCATCCTCACTCTCCGTTGCAGTCTCATCGCCTTCTCTTTTGCTTCGAGGCAAAAAAATCTTTCTTGTTTCGGACAATTACAAAAACAAACCCTCCAAAAATCCTCCCCCAAAATACAGACAGTATGCTCTTGTCCTCGCTCGCCTCCGCTCAGGCCACCGGCATCTACGCGCCCAGCACCGCGCCGGGAGAGACGGCGGGCATCGCCACGCCACCCACCAGTGAGTCGAGCCCGCCCAGTGCGGGAAGCGGCTCGGTGACGCGGAGCCCTTAGATGACGACGACGCCGGTGCCGCGGACAGCCCGGGCGAAGAGCCGGTGCCGCCGGCCGACGATCAACCAGAGGCGGGCAAACGCAGCCCGTCCACCGACCAACAACAGGCCGCGGAAGCGCCGCCGCCGCCGGACCAACAAGACGCTGCGGATACTGGCCGCACGGTGCTGGAAATACGGGTGAAGCGCGAGGAGACGGAGTCAGAGGAACGCGGATAGGAGAGAGAGACAAGCGTGATGCTCCAGACCAACAGCATGGAGCATGGAGAGCTTGGTTCGGAGAACAGGGGTGTTGGTGGAAACGCAGCTGAGAGAGGAAGATGAAAGAGGATGCTTGTCTGAGCATATTGTACACACATATTACCATAGTTACTCACAATACACCAGCGTCTGCTGCACTCAAGAGCAAGCGGCGTTGACAGCCCCCTCCCCTCCCCCGCAAACTACCTCTGTGCAACGTGAGAGGTAGCAAGCCACCGAGCCAGGATGGCGGCCCTTTTTTCCCGATCGGCGCGGGGCAAACGATGGGACTGATGCAGGACATTAGTCGCTAGTGGATGAGACTGGTGGTGGGAAGAAGCAAGTGGGAAAAAATTGAAAGGATGTAGTAGACGGTTGTGTGTAAGTGGAAGGTTGAGTGCAAGACTACGCCACAACGACAATGACAATCATGTGAGAGGACTTGCACAATCATGTAGAGAGGACAATCACAATGTAGAGAGGTATGTAAAAATGTCTATTATTGGCAACAAAGACCCAGCAACAGAAGACGGCCCCAAAAAAACGCCATAGTTAAGAAGTCAGTCATGTTTTTTCTCTTCTCACACAAGGTTTTCATCTTGCACACGGTCAATGTCCCCACACACAAGTTCAATCTTGTACATGTACAATCGCTGCATTTCTTTTTTTTTTTCTCAAGGTTTTATAACGCCGAGTTTGCAGTGTAATTACCAGCCACGACCGGCCAGCTTCTCCTCGGGCTTCATGGAGTCGCAGTTGATGCCGACCATGGCCTCGCCGAGGCCGGTGCTGCACTCGGCGAGCACAGCGGCGTCCTTGTAGTGGGTGGTGGCGCGGACAATGGCCTTGGCGCGCTTCGCCGGGTCGCCGCTCTTGAAGATGCCGGAGCCGACAAAGACGCCGTCGCAGCCGAGCTGCATCATGAGGGCGGCGTCGGCGGGGGTAGCGACGCCGCCGGCGGCAAAGTTGACGACGGGCAGGCGGCCGAGCTCGGCGGTCTGGCGCAGCAGCTCGGCGTCGACCTCGAGTTCGCGAGCGAGCTGGCGGATGCGGACGATGCCGCCGTCGGCGAGCGCGGCGCGGGCCTCGGCGATCTGGCGGTTGACCGTCTTCATGTGGCGGACGGCCTCGACGACGTCGCCGGTGCCGGCCTCGCCCTTTGTGCGGATCATGGCGGCGCCCTCGGCGATGCGGCGCAGGGCCTCGCCGAGGTTGCGGCAGCCGCAGACAAAGGGCGCCTTGAAGGGCGTCTTCTCCACGTGGTACTCGTCGTCGGCCGGCGTCAGCACCTCGCTCTCGTCAATGTAGTCGACGCCCAGCGCCTCGAGGATCTGGCACTCGACAAAGTGCCCGATGCGCGCCTTGGCCATGACGGGGATGGTGACGGCCGCCTGGATCTCCTTGATCACGGCCGGGTCTGACATGCGCGCCACCCCGCCGTCCTTGCGGATGTCGGCCGGCACACGCTCCAGCGCCATGACGGCGCATGCGCCGGCTTCTTCGGCGATGCGCGCCTGCGCCGCGTTGGTCACGTCCATGATGACGCCGCCCTTGAGCATCTGCGCGAGGCCAGCCTTGACGGCAAAGGCCGAGGTGGTGGCGGCGGAGGCGGCGGTGGTGGTGCCGTTGCTGCTGCCGTTGGTGGCGGGGGTCTCGGAGGTCATGTTGACTGGGGTGTGTGTGTGTGGTTTTGGAGTGGGAGGAGATGAACGGTTGTCTGGTGGGAGAAGAAAAGGTGTCAGCGGGACGGTCAAATGGTTGTGTGGTGTGTGGATGGTGGCGAGGGGTTCATTGTGGCGGGGAGGGGCAGCAAGGCGGGCAAAAGGGCAGGAAGAGGGCGGAAAGCTTACAGGTCAATTGGAGATGTGAATGCAAGATGGGAATGAAGCAAGATGGGAAGAGGAAAAAGCTGGGGGAGGCGCCGAGCTAATAAAGCTGTGGGCTGAGTCAAGATGATGTGTGGTGTGTGTGTGTGGACGGAGTAGTTGAGAGGAAAAAAGGCAGCGAGTTTCGGAGAGGCCTGGATGGGCGTGGACGACATGTAGCGCGACTTTTTTTTTTTCCTCTTTTTTTTTTTTGCCCCTCATCAGAACGGCAGTGGTGGGTTAGCGTAGGCTTAAATTGGACGAGGGGCACGCACACCGAGCCGGGGTGGTTCAAGTACAGCAAGATACTGGTGCAATTGATTTTTACAAGATACAGCAAGGGAAATCCGAGGACGGGGGGATGTCGTAGACAGACGGAGAGATTGTAGACAACACGTCAGATATGGGCCCACGGCGGCGAAGATGTTGTCTCTGACGCCATGGTCCGGACACAACATCAGCACCATGCATACAATCCGACGCGACATCGACCAAACGCAGACGGCACGGAATATGCCCGCGACCAAACCAATTTACCAATTTAGCAACTTCGGTATCCGTGCTCCGTCCATCTCGCTGCCCGCTGGCCCCCGGTCCCCGACTAGCGCCCGCTGCGGACTGGCTGGTTTGGGACGCCTGCATGGCCGGGATTTTTTCTGATTCTGCCATTCGAACAAGACCTTTTTTTCTTGCCTCAAAGGGAGGGGGGCCGTCAGAAACGGAAGACATCAACCGAGAGACAAGATTGGTCGTTGCGATGCAAGCCAAGATGCTACCCGGAACATGCAGCCCATCTGGCCTTGTTGCCTCGCGAACTGGCGCATGTTGCCTCGACGCAAGCCAATACCGTCGACCAGATCGAGTCCTACCTGCACCCGGCAGCATCACCGGGGGCGAGATATATTGGTCGACAGCCGACACATGGTGAATCTGTACCGATACTGCGCAGCTCCCGTACGTTCCGCCCCTCGCTAACCCAAGCCATGCCTTTATCACGAACCCACGCTGCATCTCTTGTCCTTTTCCCCTCGACAAAGTTCTCTCCTCTCGACATTTTGTTCTCTCCGCACACTGTCTATTTTTGCTTGGCCCAGCACGGACAACGGGCCCTTGTCGTCGTATATGCGCGCATCTTCACCGGTGCGCCTCGCCCATTCCCCGGTAACCGGGTCGCCCGCAACTCTTCTGGCCTTCCCAGTGGTCTCCCCGATCCGCGCCGCTGCGATTCGACTCATTCTTAGTCACACTGAGTCGCGCTGCGGCCATCGAGCGAGCCGCCTTCCTGCCTAGAACTCGGCCTCTCCACTCCGGGGGCCCGTCCTCCACAACCCCCCCCCCCCATGACATGACTAACTTTTGTTACGTACAGCAACAACCACAAGTCGTAGCAACACCGCACAATCAAGACCTGGTGATGCAGTCGCCCGTCTGCAAAGTACACACACCTTCATTTCTCCACTGGCTGCTGTGCACACACACACGCTGTCAGTCGCGCCCTGCAAGGTACCACCGCCGCGGCTCTACCACCCATGTGGTACTTCTTCGGTGGCGCTACAAGGGTGTCCGAAGGCGGAGCTCCACTTCTTTAAAAAAAATCGACCCCTCCAAACAACGGCCGGCCGACTCCCGGAACTTTTTTTTTGATTTTCCCAAGCCCGGCTCGAGCCGATAATAATCCACGTTGCGCCGCCGCCGCCCATCTCCATGCCACTCGCCCAATCCTCCCCTCGTCTTCTTCCGCTGTCCTCGCCTTGAAGAAACCCCTTCGTCTGCGCCCCAAAAATGCAGCCCACCACCACCACGGTCGGCGTCCTCGCTCTGCAGGGCGGCTTCGCCGAGCACATCGTGCTCGTCCGCAAGGCCGCCGCCCAGCTCGCCGACAGCTTCCCGACGGCCATTGAGGCCATCGAGGTGCGCACGCCCGCCGAGCTCGCGCGCTGCGACGCCCTCATCATCCCCGGCGGCGAGAGCACCACCATTTCCTTTGTCGCCGCCCAGTCGGGGCTGCTCGAGCCGCTGCGCGAGTTTGTCAAGTGCGTCCCTGTCGCCCCCCCCCCCCCCGCGTCTCTGTTTTATTTTTATTTTCCTTGTTTTGCGAATACACGACGAAAAAAACTAACCACGGGTTACACCTGCAGAGTCCTGAAGAAACCGACCTGGGGCACCTGCGCCGGCCTCATCCTGCTCTCCGAGCAGGCCAACGCCACCAAGCAGGGCGGCCAGGCCCTCATCGGCGGGCTCGACGTGCGCGTCCACCGCAACCACTTTGGCCGCCAGACGGAGAGCTTCGCCGCGCCGCTCGACCTGCCGTTTCTGCCCGACGCCGCTGCCCGCCCCTTTGAGGGCGTCTTTATCCGCGCCCCCGTTGTCGAGGCCGTGCTGGACGGCGCCGTCACCGTCGTCGCCACCCTCCCCGACCGCGTCAACAAGGTCCGGCCCCGCGCTGGCGTCGTCTCCGAGGCGCGCGTCACAGACAATGCCGGCGACATTGTGGCGGTCCGCCAAGGAAACGTCTTGGGCACCAGCTTTCATCCGGAGCTGACGCCGGATGCGAGGATGCACGCCTGGTTCTTACAGGAGTTTGTGCGCAACAAGTAGACAGGAGGAGAGACATAAGGAGACGACACGAAATTACGGCGTTTAGGAGTTCAAACAAAAACATAAATCATCAGGTAGTCATAATAACTATCTCGGCACTTCATAGATTATACACCATTTATACACACACTATATCGCATCAAGTAAGAGGCATATAACAGCTTAATTTAAGTATCTAATATAAATAAAGATAATAAAGATGATAAAGATAATAAAGATGATAAAGATAATAAAGATGATAAAGATAATAAAGATGATAAAGATACTCAAGATAATAAAGATAATAAAGATAATTACTTACTTATCTTTCTTAGTAGCTTTACTTCATAGCCTTGCCGTGACTTGTTCTTGTGGCGTTGCCCTGACAACAGTGGACTAGTCACATGGAGCACTTGCCCCCGCCCTGTAAAGGCTCGTTGAAACCTGCATTATTAACCAAACGAGCAAAAACCATGTCGGCGGCTGTGACACCGTGGATGCGCGCTGTTGGATGGAACGTACTCTTTACCATCGGACCAGACGACGACGACGAATTCCCTCCACACTTTGCGGGCATACACCAGAACCCCCGCAAGCCGACCGTGACCTTTGCTGACGTGCGCGCCGAGCTGGCGTTGTGCTTCGACGGCAGCTTTCTTGACAATAATCAAAAAGACGACGACGACGACGGAAACAACAGCAGAAACATCGGGGGCAGCGGCGACAACGGCGATGGCGGCGACAACGGCGACAACGGCGACAACGGCGACAACGGCGATGGCGGCAACAACGGCGATAGGGGCAACAACGGCGATGGCGGCAATACAGCGCGCAACAAGCCATGGGGCGGCATCGCGTTTGCCCTGATCGAGACACCCGAGCCTGAAAACGAAGATGAACATGTTGAATATCCTGCCTGGATAACAGACGAAAACATAGACGCAATCGCCCCCGGCGTGCCGTCAAGCGATCCCATTAAAGCACGCAGGACCATCAAGTATCACATCGTGCGGCACAGCCGTTGCCTGTTACCAGCTGGCTCGTTATTAAAAGACCACCTTCGAGGTTTGACCTTCCTATTATGTCTCTCCAATGTCTCTCTGCTGACACTACGGCTGAACAGCAAAATGCGCACAACATTTACCAACCCCCGATCGATATCGCCATCCTGCCTATATACCACACAATAAGACGCCGTCTGACCCGAGACTCAACATCATGCCGCTGCGGCGTCAAGCCAAGCCTCGCTCGCAGTCACCCCCGAAACGAAGCGCGTCAGGTCGCAGCTCACCTAAGAAACCAACCGACGACGCCGACAGTGAATACGCCAATATAGTGGCTCCCGCGAACATGGACATAGATGCGGACCAGGCGCGCAAAGTCATGAGCGAATTCAGAATGGCGTGCATCAACAGGTCCGCATGCTGCGCTATCACCGGCGCCGGCGTGCCGTGGTGCCTAGGCCAGCCGATCGGTCCAGGCATCCAAGCCTGCCATGTGGTGCCGCAGCAGCATTATCATGTCTACCCGATGCCCAGCACGAATGCGTTGAGCTCAGACGCTGACGAGACAATGCGATATAATCCACGTCTGTTGCAAGAGGCGTGGCGAAAAACGTGGAGTCCTCGTAACGGCATCTTGCTGATGAAGCACATGCATGACTTTTTCGATTCGCGCCTCGTTTCTATCCACCCGAAGACTTTATTGGTGCGTGTCTTTGTGCCATATCAAGACCTGGAACCCTACCACGGCCGCAAGGCAACGGTGCCTTTGGATATCGACCGCAGGGCGCTGCGGCACCACTACGACATGTGTTGCATCGAGAACATGGCCGCAACCTACCCGGATCTAGATGCACCTCTACACAACACCAAGAGCCAGATCAGCACACCTGGCGCCGGCCTGGCCAGCACTTCCGGCGGCAGCACGCCTTTGACCGGCAGAACCGACCTGGCCATGACGCCAAACTATGGACGCGACCTGACGCAGCGGCCGGCCGGCGGCGATCCGTCTAAGAGACAGCGATCAGCCCCCCGTGACGACCATGACGACCAAGACGACGGGGTCCCTGCGGCAGACGAGGTCGAGTTTTTGGAGGAAGGAGAGGAGTTTCCTGCAGCCAAACGAATACGTCTGGAAGACAGGCTCAGGCTTTTTGACGGCTATGTAACCCCATGCAACAGCCGCGAGTTTCTAGGGGATGTTAACTGGGAGCTGACCAAGCACAAGTACCTAGAGCTAAACAAGTACGAGTCTCATTCGGAATCCCATGCGACTTAGGGAATGACTTGGGGAGGCTCATACTGACCTCGGGAGCGTCAGTAAGCAGTAGACTGACTAGAGCCTGAGTGAAGACGTCAAAAGCAGCAAGAGAAACAAGTCAGTTTTAATGTCGTGTCACAATTATTCCTAAGGAGGATTGTAGTCTGCTAAAGCTCCACAATGTCTAAATTCCTTGACTTTTATTATTACTAGATTTTTATAAGGAAGCAGTTTGCCTATTCCTGTATAATGCTGATTAGCTTAGACGTGCTACTAGACAATCCCCGAGGTATAAGGGTATTCCAGAGGTTGCTGCCCGTCACCAGGGAGCTTCATCTCACAGCCGACAAAAGCATCGACGCGCTATTCGGAGCCCAGGGAAGCACTCCCGAAGGTCCCACAGCGTATCCAGTCAGGCGTCCCCGGCATCCAGAAGTGGTTGCGAGGTGATCGGTCCGGCGCATGAAATCCTGGTGGCAGATTAAGCATCATTCATTGCTGCGCTGCATATGCATTTGCATGCAGCACCATGCAGCCCAATTCCGCCGTAGATCAGTGCACTGCCATGTATTTCTGGCGATTGCTTCAAAGGACAACACTGGTCCGGTGATCAGACTTTGTTCGCCCCATCGGAACATACGCCGGGTAAGGAACCCGGCGCAGGAGCGGACCTTGCGAGACAACCTCCACGCCCGAGACAGCACCTCAGCTTTCCCCACGTAGATTGCGTTGGCTATTTAAATCCCTCTTTCGCTGGTACAATCCGCCACTCTTTCTTACCGCCCACATCAAAACACCAACAGCAATGGCCTTTTCCAAGCTTGCTTTGCTCGCCAGCGCCGCGGCGTGCGTGTCCGCTCTCGCCGTGCCGAGTCCGGTCCGCTCCATAATCGACACCGCATCCGACGAGTGTCGCCTGCCTCCCCCTATCGACCCCTCCGGAGACCGTCTGCCGCACAGCTCTGCGCTCTGGGGCGGCGCGGCCGCGCTCCGCCTGCAGGTCCGGCGGCACCAAGCCGTCGTGCGCGTGCCCTCCATCTGCTATGACGACCTCGGCGCCATTGGCCATGACGGCCGCTGGGCGCCCTTTGACCAGCTGCACCGGGTGCTCCGAAAGACGTACCCCACGGTGCAAGTGAACCCATCTGCCAGCTCAACGAGGACCCCAGCAAAGCTAACGCTGGCAGCAGGTACAAACACGCCGCGGTGGAAACAATCAACACGTACGGCCTGCTCTACACCGTCCGCGGCAGCGACCCCGCGCTCAAGCCGGTCCTGCTCATGGCGCACCAGGACGTCGTCCCCGTCGCCGACGCTTCCACCTGGACGCACCCCCCGTTCGCGGCGCACTACGACGGCCAGTTCCTCTGGGGCCGCGGCGCGAGCGACGACAAGAACAGCCTGACGGCGCTGCTCTCCACGCTCGAGACCATGCTCTCCCTGCGCTCGTGGAAGCCCCGGCGTACCGTGCTCGTCAGTCTGGGCTTTGACGAGGAGTGCTCCGGCTTCCGCGGGGCCGCGCACATTGCGGCGGAGCTCACCTCGCGCTACGGCGACGGGGGGCTCGCTGTCGTGCTCGACGAGGGCGGCTTCGGCATCCAGACCGTCGGCGACGTCAAGTACGTGCTGCCGAGCATCACGGAAAAGGGCCACGTCGACGTGTGGTTTGACCTGGACGTCATCGGCGGGCACAGCTCCATCCCCGCGCCGCACACGGGCATCGGCATCGTCGCCGAGATTGTCGCCGCGCTCGAGGCCCACCCGTACGCGCCCGTGCTGACCACGGCGAACCCCGTGTACGCGCACATGGCGTGCCTGGCGCGCTACTCGCCGGCCGCCCGGCCCGAGATCACGGAGCGCGTGCGCAGCGGCGACGTGCAGGGCCTGGCTGCCGTGCTCGACGCGGCGGGCGCCGCAGAGGCGTACACGGTGCGCACAGCGCAGGCGGTCGACTTTATCCGCGGCGGCCAGAAGATCAACGCCATGCCGGAGAAGGTCACTCTCGGCGTCAACTACCGCGTCACGCTCGACGACGGCATCTACAAGGTGCTGCACAACATTGTCAAGTACGTTGACCCGGTAGTGAAGCGGTACAACCTGTCCGTGGCGGCGTTTGAGGGCGACGACGGGTATGCCGCGTACGCGGCCAAGGCGGGTGCGCCCGTGGACGCAGCGTACGCGACGAACGCCAAGGGCAAGCTCACTATCAAGACGGCCGAGACGTCGCAGCCGGCGCCCGTCTCGCCGATGCACGGCAAGGTCTGGGATACCTTTTCCGGCACCGCGCAGCACACGCTCGCTTTTGACGGGACTGTCGTGCCCGTCGGCGAGACTATGACTGGTAACACGGATACTCGACACTATCAGAGTATGTTGGTTCTTTTTGGACAGAGTACAACAGAGACTAACAGGATTGAGCAGACCTCACCCCCAATATTTACCGCTTCACGCCTGCTGCGGCTGGATCCTCGTACAACATCCACACAATTGACGAGCGCGTGGACATGCACGAGCACATGAAGATGATTGCCTTTTACTACGACTTTGTCCGCAACTTTGACGCGGCTGTGCTTGAGGGCGAGAGCGCGCCGGAGCTAGATAACCTGGAGCTGTAGGGGTGGTTGGCTACACAGGAGAATCGATGGATCGTGAGCATGAAGAACGTCTCAACAAATGGTATATTCAATGATTAAATTATTATCAAACGTAACTTGATTCCTAGCTCTGGTGCATGCGATTGTAGATGTTGCAAGCCGAGCCACAACAGGCCGCAGATGACAGCCCTGCACGACCAACAATTGAAATCATGTACAAAGTCGCGTTGCTGTGATTGTGCTTTTTAGTTCGAGGTCGGCCGCGTAACATGCTGGCCCATCCCGAACTGTTATCAGCGCTTCGTGCTGGGTTCCGCGCTCAGCTGGTCGCCCATGCATGCTACTTCTGGAGAGTGCCAAGCCAGCCTGGCCAAGGTGCATACTTTCCTGCTTTCTTGCCACCGCCTGCCCAGCTCGCAGTAGATTCCCCTCGTCAAAGTACAGTAGACAGTTGGGACATGCGTGCTTCAGCCCTTCCGAACCGTCGCAGGCATCACGGTGGCTGTATACCCGGCCTCGGCGTGGAAGCGAGCAGGTCTCGAAGAAGAGTGTCGTGGATGAAGAGACGCAGTCGCTTCTACCCGCGGGGCACAGGGACGAGATCGTCGAGTTGGTAGCACCGCGAGCTTTTGGAGCTCGAGGGTAGGTACGCCGTCTGTGGAGGATCGAGACGACGGCTAGCGAGGGTCTGCCGCGATGGGTTGAGAAGGACTGGGAAAGGACACAAAATTTCTCACAACGTCAACTTTCCCATTTTCATTTTTTGTTTCAGTATTCTTTTCACTATCTTCTAGTTATCAAGGTACCTACATAGCGTTGCCATTTTCTTTCTCATCCGTCTGTTGCTTCAAGACATGTCAGTTGTCTCACTCGATGCTCCCACGCCACCGCGAAGCTCTTGACCTCATGTCTCGCGCTGGTGTATCAGGTTGTCTCACAGGCGGCAACCCACAACACATTTCTCCGATAGACCCGAATCCGGAAAGAGGAAAGAGGGGGAAAGCTCGGTACTTTTGAAAAGCAAGAAATGGAAAGAGTATGCGGCTCTATAGGTGGGACTACGGCACGCTTGACGACTCTTGCTTGGTCCCGTCAAAGAGACAAGAATTACAAGTCAATTCTCAAACTTGATAACATGACAATGTTCGACCATTGTCAGTTGCAACCAAAAACAAATCGACAAGTGAGCTGTCTGTCCACTCACGAATTGCACATCCAAGATACACCCTCCACCCTACAACTCCGCGACTCAGACATTCTTACCCCCTCCATCACTGCTTATGAGAAAAAGGCGATTCGGATTTGAGAGCTGGAATTGGGCCTTGTTCTGGCCCCTTTGATGTTGGGCAGAGATCGACGCAGCTCGTCTACCGACTGCTCAGACGAGAGCGTTGTGTTGTTCGCCGCCCTTCAAAGCAGACCAGAAGGAGCAAAAGGTGTCATAATTGGTGGAACACGCTGTTGATTGACTCAGGGTATCTTCAAAGACATGCTTTTGCACATCGTAGTGCGAGCGCAGGGAATCATGATATAGTAGAGGGCTCTTTATGGTCCCGCGATAGTACCATACTAGGCTACGAGATATCTTGCTGCTTGCCCGAAAAAAAAACTACCCAATCTCTACCTGTGCTAGTTGTATATTCTACCCTTTGCCGACATTTGAGCTGCCAATACTCTGTTGTCCCCTCCCCAACGTCCCTACTAAGCTGTACACGTTCAACCAACCGGAAACCAGAAAGGCCAGCTGGAAGCCATCATTTACCCTCACATCTCGCTTGCACCATGCGAAACCAGACAAATTTCTAATCCGACCCCTATTCCCCAGTGGTACAGCACACGGGGCAGAAGTCGACCATCATCATGTAAGTGGCCTCCCCATATCCAACATTCCGACCGCCGAGACATGGGGGGGTCTTTGAGCGGCACGTTGCATTCTTCACCAATCGCCGGCTGTCTCCGATTGCTTGGCGGTTAACTCGAGGGAGCTCTGGCTGTTTCAGTCGTGGCCTCTTTGGGATAGCTTCAACCAGGTAGTGATGCAATCCAGCAAGCAGTGCAAAAGGAGAAGTGACGAGCTAAGCTAGCCTGTCAAGTCGAGTGAAAATCCCCGTCATTAGCGCCAAAGAACATCCCGGTTTGCAGAGGAATGCCCGCTGTGGAATTGCGTTTCAAGCTGCTGACTGATTACGGGCGATGCAGAGACTGTAAGCAAAGCGGAAACAGGGAAACGGTGGTTGGTAGGATATTTCACCTCTCTATTGCGTATGGTATTAAGTAAGTTTAATTATGTGCCCTCTCCTGGCTGGAGAAATTGAAAGAAAGAAAGCCGCTTTATCCATTTTACCCAGTAAATCGCCGAAATCCCATAAATCAATAAAGCTGAAAAACGCCGAAATATGAATCGCTATTTTCACCTGCCATCTTCCCCGTGTAAACAAAAAGGTTGTCAGCTCAGAAACTGAAAAGACCACTGCGGCGTTTGCCGAGCGGGTATACCATCAGCGCACTCATGAAGAGACCGACACTGATGGAAATGGCAACCTGGACAACCAGGAAGAGCACGTTGAACGCCGTGTTGTCCATGCCCCCCGCCGAGGTACCAGACTTCGTCGTGTTGCCAGTCGCCTCGTTGGCAGATGTAATGCCGGCAAGCAACGAGCCACCCGCCGCAAGGCCCGACGGGACCTGCACAAAAATGGCGGGCAGCATGGCCGCCGCAGCGAGACTATAGCCTACGCTGCGTCTGCTCGCCTTCTTCTCCTTCTGAATCGTGTCGCTGGTGGCGGACTCGGCGTCCGCGATAGACCCCGTCCACGCGTCGGACCTGTTGCTGCGCCGGCTAAAGTAGCGACGCGTCACATTCTTCCGCCACCAGTCGGTCAAGTCCAGCCAGGCGTTGTCGGCGTGCCGGCCCAAACGCGAGTACAAGTTGGCCAGGATCCCGACGGTCAGCGCGCCGAGCATGTTGGAGATTTGGCCGTTGCCTTGAAAGTAGAGGCTCGTGTAGCTGTTGACGGCGTAGCCAGCAACGGCCATGACCAGCATGGCGGGAATCTGCCTCCACTTGGCCTGGTTCACAATGCACAGGCAGAGCGTGAAGCAGGGCACGAAAAACATGTTCCAACCACGGTGCAGCGGCCGGGTGCAATGCGTGCTACTCGCTGCGTTGGGATCCATCATGCCGTAGAGGGTAGCGCCAATGGTGATGCCGTATCCCAAGAATAGAGTGTAAATGAGAGCATACACCATGCGGACACTGCCGGCAACGAGGTTGTGACTCTGCAGCTCCAGCGAGCTGCACAGTACAATGTAGCCGGGAAGAATGAGGGCAATGCTGCTCTGCGCTAGCGCCGAAAAGCAAAACAGTTGTCCGTTGTCGATGGAGCCAAAGCCCCGAGCGATGAATGAGGTGATGATGGAGGCCGAGACTTCAAAGACGTGGGCATACAGCTCGTTACTGGGTGCGAATACGAGCTGGAGGATACCAACGATACAGCCAAGGATGAAAGCGCAGGGCAGATCGATGAAGCGGCCCTCAAAGGCAAACGGGGCAACACTGGCAGAGGCAACACCGTACATGATGATTCGAAACCAGACGGGGAACTTGGTGTCGCTGTTGATGACATCCTCGAGTTGCTTTGTGGCGTCTTCAACACCGAGCTTGTCGTGAACCACGTGCTTGTAAATGTTGTGCACATCGCGAAGCTTGCCCAAGTCGATGCCCTCCGGCACACGAATGAGCTTGACTTCGGTTGTGTGGGTGGAGCTATCATCGAAAGAGATGATCATGCAGGAAGGCAGATATAAGAACTGGCTTTCAATCTCGAGCACGCGAGCCGACATGGTCATGTACTCTTCGAGTCGATGGGTAGGGGCACCGTACATCATGAGCGCCCGACATAACTTCATGAGATACCGATGCCGAGCAATGGTGCCGGCAATGTGAATGGTAATGCGGTGCTGCTCCTTCTTCGGCTTGGCCGGTTTCTCCTTCTTGATCTTGTGATCCCATTGATCCGATATTTGACGAGACACGGGGACGGCGAGCATGGAGGACGACTTGAGCAGTTCGGTGAGGGCTAGTGACGAGGTAGAGGACTGGGGCTTGTGATAGGAAAAAAAGCCGCTGGTGGGCCGCGAGCGGCTGCTTCCTGAGGTAGACGGGCTTCTCGAGTTGGGTGGTGAGGAGCGAGGGGACATGGTGGGTGTTGTAGCGGCAGAGTTGAATTCGGAGCTGGGGGCGCTTGTGTTTTGTCCTCTCTCATGTTGGTAGAGATTCAGCAGCGACGACAGGATACCACCGCGATACTTCGTTGGGCGAGGGACATATTCCTGGGGGTCGGCGGGAATGGGTGTTGAAGTGCCAGAGCTGTAGGACTTATGGTGTCGGTGGAAGAAGTCGGCTTTCTTAGTCTTCATGGTATGAGACAGGACAAGCGACTCTGCGACATTATGAGTGTCTGTGGCTTGCGGTTGAGATGAGCGCAGGGTACGGTGTCTGATGTGCGAGATGTGAGGAGGAACCTTGATATCGTCATGATCCAGCCACTGGTCTGGATCATCTGCATCTTCGAGCAAGGGCTGGAATGTAGCACTGAGCTCACCCGAGCTCCGCCCCGACACGGGTGACGAGTACCCTCCCACAGACATGGCCAGGCGATCCGCCCGGTGCCGTGCGTCAGTCATGGACCGGACCTGACGTTGGCTGGCCTTTTGCTCGGCTAGGTCGGCCTCCTCGCGCTCCTTGGGAACATCGTAGCTAGTGCTGCGACGTAGGACAGGCCTCGGGGGTCGGAGAAGGTTTGGGGTCTGTGCAGCCGTGCTTTGGGGGGAGGTGTCGCTGTAGTGAGGATCAATGTCCATCTTGCTCTCGGAAGCGGGCTGCTGGTCCTCTCCCGAGAGAATCTTGGTCAATGCAATGGTGAGCTCGAGAGCGTCCGGCACACCGGACTGCGGCGTGCCCTCAAAGGAAGGCGTAGAAATGTTGGAGAGATTGTCGCGGGGTGACACGCCGGCGGCGTCCTTGGATGATGAGTCACGGGCAAAGCTGCCGCTGGCAGAATGCCAGCCGACACGCTTCTTGCCCTTGCGGGTAGGGCCCAGGCCATCCGTAGGAGCCGGGAGGACGTTGCTGTCATGACCGAGTGTTGGTGGTGTTGCCATGATGGTTGACGCTAGTGTGTTGGTGATTCTCACAGCTAAGACAAAGTTTCACCCTCTGCGGGAGAGAGTGAAGCAGAAACCAGAAGGTGACATGAAGAGAGGAAAAGAGTCCAGTCCCGACCACGACCATATAGCTTAGCCAAAGATGATTAAATCGGGTCGCAGACAAGTGCAACGAAAGCGTCCGGCACGATCGAGAGACGGACCACCACACTGGACGGCCGAGTCGTAGAGTCGCAGAGTGGTGGGGTCGCAAGGGACCAGGAGCATGCCATGGCGAACCAGGAGTCAAAAAGTTTTCACGTCTCCTCTTCATCAACAACACTGCCCTCGGAGGGTTCCATCTTTTCCGCAAATTTGCCATTATCGGTCTTGTATGGGCTTGTGGGTTCTGCTCGAAGCCTAATTGCCGCGACAGGAGATAACTAGTCAGTCTTCGCAAGCAACCAAAAGGGTGGGCGCTGCTGGCGGCCCAATTGGACGAGGGGGTGCGAGTCGGTGCCAGCAAATTCAGATAGCAGAATTGTGGGCTCCTCTCTCCCAAGTCCGGTTTTTCTTCCCCTGTGCTTGTTTTTTTCCCCGAACCTGGTGGTGCTCTTTGATCGCGGCAACCGGCCGGGCGACTCCACCGCGCCGCCCGTCATGGTGGACTAGAGCCGGGCCTTTGGGCGAGAAAGAGGAGTCTAAAGAGCGGATAAGCGTAGTGGCCCTGTCCACTCGAGGGAGAAATGGCTTTCCGGTGGCGAACTTGTTGATGCTCAACGGTTGGGATGGACGCGTGGTGATGATGATAAGTCTGTGGCTACATCAACCCCCTCACGCCCGTTTGCCGTTTGCACTGCTGAGCGGAGGCGTTCCAGAACCTGACCTGCGGGAGACCATTAGAATCAATCATGCAAAAAGCTAAAACATCCATTATTACTGACAAGTCGCAGGTGTGCCTATGCTGAGCCGGGCGGCGTGGTGACATTGGAAGAAATTTAAATGCCAGTGCTGTTGGCAAGTTGCCACTCTGCTGGGTGCCCCAGCCACCGCGAGACGTTTGGCCTCAATGCACCAGAGACACGTGATTGAGACAATCACAAACCTGCGCCGTCCTTCAAAATGTTGTCTCACCATGCGCAGGCCAGATGCAAATTTATGTACTGGATTCTGGCTTGAGTTGCAGGTATATCATCGTCATTATTATCGTTTCAATAACTTGGTGTCTGTCAAGCCGTCTGGTGTCTGTCAAGCAGCCACCAGCATAATTTGGTCTCGGCAAAGCAGGGATCCGCGACCACTTATTCTTTTTATTCTTTTTTTATTCTGTTTATTATTTTCGTACCATCGAGATTCACACTGGCCCATTATAACCCGCTTCGTACCGCAACATCCTGTCAAGAGCTTGGTGTACCGCAGCAGCCTGTCAAGAGAGCTTGGTGGCATTTATACCACCTTGCCTGTGCGTGTCGTAACCTGCGTCACGTCGTGTAACCCCTCGAAGTTTTCCATGATGCTGCATGAGGCTTTTTACAAACGTCGCTTCAGACGCATGATTGATACCATAAAGGTGGGTGGTGTTTGCAAAGGCACCCTGACACATTCCCCCTTCTATCCCTTCTATCGGTGTGCTTGCAACTAACAAAGGCCACTTGCAGAATCGAGACCCCGGCGGTGTACGACGCCATGTAACATATTTTTGGTGAAAGGAGCCGAGAAGAGAGCGCTGCCACGTCTCGGCCTGCGCGAGGGCTGCCAACTCTACTACACTCCGCCAACCGGCCGTGTACATATGTCCCGGCCGTGACTCGATAGATTGCGGTGGAGCCGGGTAGTAGATGACAGGACAGCTCATCAGATTCTTCCCTTGCTGCAACATCGAGGACACTCCCGGGCATCTTGTGCGTCGGCATCACGGCACTCATTGGCTGAACCTGACCCCAAAGCACGAGCGTTGCAACATACGCTACGTGATTGGGCGGGTCTAACGCCGTAGAAGTAGATCCCGACCGGAAATCCGCCAGAGCCGAATGCAACTCTACAAAATCCGGCCTGCCATGGTGGCGAGTCCAGACTCGATTGGCTCCCCTCCAGCAGTCGCATCTCTCCCTTCATCCAACCACCATTTCCTCGCAAAGGAGCGGTCAAACCATTCTACGGCAAAGGCTCATGTCCTGACCAGGGCTGGATAACTACTTGAATTTTCTTTTTCAACAGTCGCACCAAGCCCCGTCGTGTTATCGGCTCGATGGGGCGGTGGCGCTCGGGATACCCTTTTCGGAAGTCGATGAGCAAAAGTTTAATTTATTTTTGGCACTTCCAACACACACCCCTGTTCAGACCACGTTTTCATTCTTCTTCTTCAGCTTCTTCCTCTCGGTATTGCCTGTTTGAGCTTTTCGTCGCAGGTGTTGTGGCGTCGTCCGGCAATAACTTCAGGCACCGTACATGCGACCGGAAATACATATCAGAGGACCCGCCCGTCTACGGAGCAGAATGGGAGGGATGAAATGCGAAAATGGCAGACGCTCTTGAACCACGAACCGGTCTGACGATTCCCATCCAAAACTCGGGTGTGTGGCTGCTGGTTATGGCGACGTTGGATCCCTTCGCTGCTCAACCCAAAGTGGCAATATCAACGCACGGACATAGCCGTAATACTACCGTGGCTGATCATGTCGCCATCCGTCAATCACCAGCAAACATTTCTTCGCCCCCATCACCCGATCCCGAGCAGCTGGCCTCCCGTCAAAGCGAGTCGGGGCGCTGGGCGATCCCCATCCCGGCTGAGGCAACCGATCTGTGTTTGCGCAGCACCTAGTCAAAAATGTGCGTCCGCGCCCCTTGCGCGAAAGCCGGCTCGCGCAATAACGAAGCTCCCTGAGCCTTTGGTGCGACACGGCTGCGAAAGCTTGTTTGCTTGTCTTGTCTTGTCGTGGCCAAGCTGAAAGGGGACCTGCCAAACCTATCAAGTCTTAGTACCAGTAGATGCTGATCTATCTAGATGGGGGTGAGATGGTGCCAGGTCCCATTCTCCACCAGCAATGCCGGTTGGTGCTCCGGACTTCGCATCCAAGTTTTGGAGAGTCTCTTTTGTCGTACAGGCAAATGCTCCCCTGTTATCTGTTGTTCATGTCTCATGGGTGATAATTGGTAACTAATTGATCCAACCTAGGTTGGTGATGCATGCTACCCTGCATCTGCCACAAGCCAATCAAACACTTTGCAAAAGCTTCCAGCTGGACCACTTACTGAATCGGGGTACTTTTTGAGAATACACCCATCTGTAACCTCTTCTGCCTTTTGCATTTTTATCAAGCCGAACTTGGTCAGTCGTTATAATTCCTAGAACTGCATCCCTCCGCCCTCTGGTTGGCTCCCGCTAAAAGTTGCGTCATTTTGTCACGCCATTCTGGTCGGCGCCTCTGGCACGAGTGAGCCCCAAAGATCGATTGCGCTAGAATATCTCCTGTGCGGCAGCGTGGCACACATGGCTACGGAGCAACCACCGTCTCCCCTTCACGTCCGCGCGTGTTCGGCTTTGCTCCCTGTTCAAGAAGTGCTTGAAGAGCTCCCACCAGGGCCACGAACTCGACTGCCGTGAGAAGAGGATTTGGGCCTTAAGTGGTGTCGTCAAGATCGGCACATGCTCCAGCCAGGAAAGAATCCAGCTCTGTCTGATGCAGGTAGGCAACGCCGCCATATTCTGGGTACGTGTCGACGACTTCCGACTTGAAGCCAACTGCAGAGTGAAGTAACGCAGCGAGGTCACGCCGTACAGGCTGGAATCGATGCTTAGCTATTGGTGAAGTTGTACCTCGGTATCCCCGTTTCGCAGATCAGCACCAGCGTCCAGAAGAACATCGACAGCTGCACGGTTGTTGCATCGTATGTCGGACGAGCCTGGCGGGCGGTAGGCCGTTTAAAGTGATACTTTCAGTCGGCAAAGTTGTCGGCAAAAAACATATCCAGCTACGGTATCGCACAAATTCCCGGTCACCCGCAGTAACGGGTCGGCCTAGACCTCCAAAGTCATGGCGAATTCGGAGGCAGCGCGATTGTATTAGAGCGCGTCGGTTTCGGTGATTTTGCGGCGGTCGGGTGGGAAGTCTTCAAATCCTTCCTGGCCATCAGGCCGGGCGCAGGGTTTAGCCCCGCGGACAAAATCTTGTATGTAGTGGACGCTCTTGAGGCTGACAAGCGTCGGGCTGCTGGAGTCGGCCGGCTTGCTTGGAGCGAAATCCAGCGTCGTCACGGTTGCTAAAGTCTTTGAGCGCGGAAAGAGTCAGGCTCGACTGGACGACTTGATTCAGCGGCCGAGTCGTGGCTTCGATAATTTTTCGGTGATTGATGACCACGAGGGCGGCAGCGCAGTTGGTGGTGGTGGTGGTGGTGGCGGTGGTTGTTGTTATTGTAATTTTGGATGTACCATTTGGCTCGACGAGAGGGGAATGGCGTATTCTTGTGGCGTGTTGGGCCTGCGCTGAGGGCGGTATTTTAATGATGGCTACAACAGCATTGAGACTTCAAGTGGCCCGTGATGGTGATGATTGCATGCATGTTTGGTTGATTTGCGGGTTGATGGTGGTGTGGTTCTGTGGTGTCTGGTGCGGTTGGTGGAGGGGTTGCTTGGTTGCCTACCTACCTGTTTGTTTGCTACCCATGTACCTAGCATCGCTGAATGGTTCCTTCACCACAGCGCCTTTTTCCGCAACGCACCAAGCATTGCTCTTTCCCTCAGCTACTCCGTCCTATCTTTAAAGCCGCGCCCCTATCACCATGCCGAAGATATCGTCGCTCAAAACATATTTCGACGAGATAGAGGAGACGAACGGCGATGACGAATGTAGGGCCTGGTTGAGTAGGATTTTCGATGCCAAGCTTGAACTCGCAACATTTGTTGCTGCCCGCCGGGGAGGGGGCAGAGCCACTGAGTACGTAGGCTTCCTCAAGGGTTCCTTTAACTTCAGTTTTCGCTTCAAGTTCAGCGACGGAGGGCCAGATGCCATTATTCGTTTTCCCAAGCCAGGACACATAGCGACGGCACTAAGGGACGAGAAGGTCGCGAACGAGGTCCGAGTCATGGAATATCTAAGCCAGAATACTACCATCCCTATCCCTCGTGTTCACAGCTGGGGTTTCACTTCCCAGAGTCCGCAGCAGTTTGGCCCCTTCATCATTATGGAGTATGTCCAAGGGACGCTTTTGTCGACAATCCTAAAGCAACCGATGAAAAGCGACCAAGAGGACATGGTCTTGGACCAAAGCATCGACAACTCAATGTTAGACAAGATCTACCGTCAGATCGCCGATTACCTGCTTCAGCTCTCCCAACTCACGTTTACACGTATTGGAGCTATTACCAAAGACGGTGACACTTGGTCCGTTACCAAAAGACCACTGACGTATAATATGAATGAGTTGGCGACTGTTGCGGGCTACAGAGCTGACCTCTTTCCCACCACAACCTTCGATCGTGCTAGCGACTACCTCAAGTCAGTCGCGCAAGAGCATCTGGCTCACCTTTGGACTCAGCGCAACCTCGCAGATGACCCAGAAACCGCGCGGGCGCGGTTTATTGCCCGGCATCGGTTCGCTCAGCTTGTCCCAAAGTACTGCATCAACGACGCTGGGCCATTTATACCATTCTGCGACGATCTACGGCCTTCTAACATGCTTGTTGATCCGGAGACACTTCAAATCACAGCGGTGTTCGATTTTGAGTTTACAAATGTCATGCCTGCACAGTTCACGTACGACCCTCCTTGGTGGCTGTTGTTGTCTGGCCCAGAAGTGTGGCTTGATCGTGATTCCGTGGAAGAATTCCAGGACCTTTATGAGCCCAGAATGGAGCAGTTCCTGCGGGCTTTAGAACAAGTTGAAGGCATGTCGGTGCCTGGGAGGGAGCCACTCACTGAACCACGTCTCTCTACTCGGATGCGTGACTCATGGAGATCTGGTCGCTTCTGGTTCGATATTGCAGCGAGAAAAAGTTTCGAGCTAGATGCCATCTATTGGGCCGTGCTGCATGACGGTGGCTCTGGTATTGAGTTGCTTGATGACGCGGCGCGCGCAGAGATGGAGCCATTCATAGAGAGAAAAATGAAGCAGCTGAAGGCGTACAAGGAGGAGTGTAATGCTCGCTTCTCCAAGGAAGCGGATGAATGACGCTTTCTGTTTATATTTTTTTGGTTACATAATTTGTTTTTATCGATACTGCGCATCGCTACCGTTGCATTGCTACGGTCACATACACCGTGTGATAATAGCAGCATTTAGCAAATGGTGGTGCGGTCACAGCTACCAAACTTCCGACATGACACTTTGTAGGTCCAGCAGCAGCCCAAGCCAATCGGCGCCGTGCGGGAACAGACGAACTGCTTCCTTGTAAAAATGAAGCGACGAAAGATATTGAGGAATTTGGACATTGTGGGCAAGATCAAGTTTATGGTCAATTTCGGAGCACAGTGTTGTGAATGTGACGGCATAACAGTAAGGGCTGACCGTTAAAAAATACAAAGCCGGCTGGCCAAGGTTACGAGACATTGTCAAGTAATAAGTAATACGGTTAGGTTAGTCAGCAACGCTGGTAGAGATTATATCACATTAGTGTCCCCCAGCATTTCTAGAAATACAAAATCTCTCCTTGCTCGACCATGATTTCCAAAACCATCTCATATAGGACAAGTAGTGAGGATGACGACTGCTTGGTCACTGTGCGCTACATTGGCGCTATATTTTACCTTCGATGGTCGCCAAGCGATCTTGCTTTAGTACCCGATCTGTTGAGCAATTATTTAGCTCAACTTGAACAACTAAAGGATGACGATGTTTACGCCGATTACTCCGGACTTGTGCTGCCTTTCAAACCTCTCATGGACCAACTAGCCCCAACAGGCAGACAAGTTCCATTTACCCTCTACGAGTACCTGTATCCTCAATGGTTTCAGCTCAAAGCAACTGCCGCTAAGGATTGCCAGACCATACTGCCAGTACAATTAAAGGGGGAGGACCCCTTCTGTCGGCTTGGCATACCAACTAGCAGTTTCCAGTTAGACAAACTGGATCTCAACAACTGGGTACCTCGATGGTTCTCGTCACACGATATTGAACTTCCCGCAGACGCAAAGGAGCATCCACTCTTACAGAGCCCGTCCAGAGTGATAGAAAGGCAGTCGCAGACGGAGTGCTTCTTTAAAGGCCTCGGCCCAGGACACAAGGGGACCATTGACGAGCTTGTGGCGTTTCGTGCCATCGACGAAGCCACCAAGCGGGGAGCTCTTGCTCCTGATGCCCGGATCTGCCGTCTATATGGTCTTATCATAGACACGCTAGGCCCACGTGCGCCAGACCAACGTATAGTTGGCATGCTACTGAATTACATAGAGCCTAAACGACACGGCATCCTCGGAACTCTCCATTACATTGCATACGACGAGCAGAATCACAAGCACTTCCATAGCTGGGCCGACGACCTCAGCGATACCCTTGGTCAGCTATATCAAGCTGGATGCGTATGGGGGGATGCTAAACCAGAGAATGTGCTTGTTGACAAGGATAATAAGGTTTAGATCATTGACTTTGGGGGCGGGTATACGCCCGGCTGGGTAGCTGCTGAAGATGAGGGTACGCAAAAGGGTGATTTGGAAGCTATGGCAAAAATACGGCAGTGGCTTGAGCAGCAGGTGTCAGAGAGGAGGGCTGAGATGAGAGGGCAGGCATAACTTGGTCCAACGTTCTATTTAAGAATATAACACTATTTGTTATTCTTCTACCCTTTGCAGCTTCAGTAAGCGGACACCTCAGCGAACTGGGTCAGCCATTATAACGAGACTCGCTCTAATCTGCAGCGTGTAACTGCGCACCGTATTAACGCCTAGATCGCTTCATCTTGGCGGGAACTACCAGGAGATATTCGTGGCCAGGTGGTAGATCCCCGAATGGCCACTGCTGGCTCTCCTTGATGACCTCCAGTGCTTTACGAGGTTCCTTGTGATCAACGAAGAACTCGGTGTTGACGCCCGATATGAGTCCAGTTGAGTCATTGACGTCGAAGACAGTTCCACACAATTTCGCATCCCGGATATACTGTATTGGCGACACTCCCATCGCTTCCTGCGCGTTGTTGCGAATAAAGTCAAGAGGCACCCTTTCAATACCCGCTACTCAAAGTCAGTAAACATCCCATACTGCCACAAATCCCAGCTGTAAAAGGCACTGCCAAAAGCTGTAGACCCAGGTCCCACTGCGACCAAACTGTCAAATTGGGTGTACTTACTTGAGAATGCCGCCGCCGCCGCAAGACATGCGGCTGGATGAGAGCTCATGATGCCGTATATGTCGTCGGTGTCCACTCTCAGCGCTCTCAATAGGCCGCCTGCGAGCCCACGCTCACGATACTCCTTCTTGACCACCAACTGGGTAACCCAACACACAGTCTTCCCTGCAGGGTTCTTCCAACGGCAGGAGAACGCGTTGCCAGCAAGCACTCCATCCACACACACCCGAGTATAGAAGCTCTGGGTACTGTCGGGTAGGTATTGTTTACGAAGTCGACGAGGGCTTAGGTGAACAGGGGATCCTATAGGGAAATTAGCATGCGTACGAGAGTGTGAGGTGCCTAGTCGGAGGGCTTCTAGTCAACAGTATTCTAGAATGTGGTGAATAAAAATGTCGGAATGATGGCTTCCCCTCTCCCCTGTCTCAACAGCAGTCTGCCGCTATTACCCAAGCCTCCATATATGTAACCTGTATGCTCCCTTTAGCATCTGTAGCTCTCACCTGGTTTGATGGATTTTTCTCCCCATATTCCATAGTTTTCATTGAAAAGTGTTGCAGCCTCGATGACCATGTCTTCAAGAACTTGGCCGCTGGCAAAGGTCTCATAGAGTTGCTGCTTCATGGTAGCGGCCACGTCTGCGAGAATTGGGAGGATCAGTTAGTTTGTAGGTCGAAGCTGGTGGTTGTTGTATTTTTTCTATGGCCTTCTGAAAGATCAAGAATCGTCTGAAGTTGTGTAGCTAACTTAGTATGGTGGGGTGGGAGCTGTGGTGCGGGGCTGGGCCATATGTGAGGTGCAGGGTAAGGCGCTGTTGATTTACCCGGTAGTCAACGAGTCGAAGCAACTTAGCACGTTCCACTTTGTCGACGGATCAAGGACAATTCGTTCAGCTGCATGCTCTCCTACCCAAGCCATCTCAATGCAGAGGGCAAGAATTGGCGGCTGCCGCTGTTATCGGCGCCGGCTGCTGGTTATCTCGCTGTGGGGCCGGCGGCACTGCCTATTTCGGTAATTTTCTTCCTCTCCCAAATGTCGTGGCCCGACTCTTAAATCACGTCTTCGCCCGCTCCTTGCAACGGCCCAGTGTCTGCACCAACAGCCATCACTTCCCAACCTTGGGCGCGCGGGTCCATCAGGCCCTTTACAAACATGTCGTGATGACAGACCCCGAAAGCTGTCACGGCCCAGTTGACGGCATGTCGCCGCGTGGCGATGGCGTTTTTATAAAAGGCCAATCTCTCCTCAAAGGACCCAGCATCTCAGCCAGCCCGTCCCTCCCAGCAATCTTTGCCCGCTTCCTCGAACAACGCCAAGAAAATGGCCGCCACGCACGCGGCAGTCACCGCTCCGGACAGCGACAGTGATGATGATGCCGATTACGAGGTCACCGGGGCTTTTGCATACGTTGCGCGCTTCATCCCCTACTTCCGCAAGCCTCGCCGCGTCCTGCTCTTCAAGATGGACGTGATGCTCGTCTTGTGGATGTTCATCGCCGGCCTCATGAAGGAGATGGACCAGTCGGCCACGACGCAGGCATACGTCTCCGGCATGCGCGAGAGCCTGGGCCTGTACGGCAATGAGCTGGTCATGTTCAACACCTTCTTCTCCATTGGCTACGCTCTCGGCCTCGTGCCGGGACAGCTCATCCAGACCCGGATCCGACCATCCATCTTCCTGCCCATCTGCGAGGTGTGCTGGGGCTTCTTCGTCCTGTTGTACGTTTTTTTGTTTTCCCTCCTCCTCCCCCCACCGTTCGAGACTAACCAAACCCGTCAACTCCCCCAGCACGTACAAGGCCAGGAATGCACACACAATCTACGGCCTCCGCTTCGTCCTCGGCCTGCTCTCCGCCTCCTTCTGGCCCTCGGTCGTCGCCCTCCTCTTCAACTGGTACAAGCCGTCGGAGCTCGCGGTCCGCCTCGCCCTGTGCACCGCCTCCGACGTCGCCGGGGCCATGTTCCTCGGCATCCTGCAGGCCGCGCTGTACCGTGACATGGAAGGCGTGCACGGCCTGCGCGGCTGGCAGTGGCTCTTCGTCATCGCCGGCGCCGCCACCGTGGGCCAGGGCCTCGTCGCCTTCTTCACCATCCCCGACTCGCCCGCGACTACGCGCGCGCTCTACCTCACCGACGCCGACAAGGCCCTCGCGCGTCAGCGCATGGCCAGCTTCGGCGCCCGGACGAGCACCCCCGTCAGCGCCATCGTGCTGCGCCGGAAGATGCGCCAACTCATCGTGCACCCCGTCACCTGGTTCTTCCTGCTCGCCTTTGCGCTGACCGCCTGGGCGCACCGCGCCAACGCATACCTAGTGCTCTACCTCGAGAGCATCAAGGATGCCGACGGCAACAGGGTCTACAGCGTCTTCCAGGTCAACGTGCTGCCGCTCGGCGGCTACGCGCTGCAGATCGTCACCAACGTCGGCCTCAACGCGCTGTCGGACTGGAAGCACTGGCGCTGGCAGATTAGCGTCGGCAGCGCGGCGTACTACGCCGTCATCCTCGCCGTGCTGTGCGCCTGGCCGCCCAACGACAAGGTCATCCTGGCCTTTTACTTTCTCACATACAGCACGTACGCCGGCTCCTCGTCGCTCATGGCGTGGATGGCCGAGCTCATGAAAAAGGAGCCCGAGGCGCGGTCCATCATCGTCGCGCTGACCGTCACCGTTGTCTACGTGGGCCACGCCACGATCCCGTTGCGGGCGTTCCGGGTCGCGGACGCGCCGCGGTATCCGATCGGCTTTCCCATGGTCCTGGCCATGACGGTAGCGAGCATCCTGGTGCAGCTGGGGTTTTTGTGGTGGGATAGGCGCCACCCCGGCATCGCAGAGTACGGTTTCGACAAACCCGCGACCGGCAACATTGCTGGCTCCGACGAGGAGGCCACGGCCACATTGGAGGAGAGCAAGATTGGTGACGACAAGGACCGCATGTAACACCAGGACACCGGCACCCTCCTGCTAGTAGGAATCAGATATTATCTGCATTCTTTTCCATGAGGCAATAAAGAGGTTTAAACAGTAGTTAGTGTATGAGGCAAGTTAGCTTCCGGGAGTTAATTCAAAAATAAAAATAAAATATAAATATATTAAACGCAATAAAAAAGAATAAAAAAAGATAATACTAGATCATTCTAAGCTGTGAAGCTATTTTACTAATACATGCTCGGCTTGGGGGCTACCAGTGCTCTGTTCAGGATACACGAAGCCAAGCGCCGCCAAATCCCGGAGCTTATGCCTCTCGCCCCCCAACTTCCTCGACGCCGCCTTGGCCAGAGGCATCTGCGCCCTCAGCCACCTCTTTTCATCCCCCCAAAACGGCGGCATCTTGCCCACGCCTCCATTCTCCAAGGCCGCGTCTCTGTCGGCCTCGAGGCTCAGCCTGTGCATATCGTTGATGTAGTCGACGTCCTGGAGAGGGCCCATGGAATGCACTGCCGCCGCACTCCCCTTGGCTAGCAGCAGTGCCGTCTCCCAAGCCCTCATCTCCGACGTCGGCGGCAGGCCCAGTCGGCCGGCCCAGACGCGCGAGATCCACGCCGCCTGGCCCTCGGCAAAGGGGAACGGCACGACGCGCTGCGGGATCCCGAGGAAGGCCAGCGTCGGGTCGTCGATGGAGAAGACGTGCTGGTACAGGCCGTGGACACACGCGCCGCCGTCGCCCACCACCGCCGCCGAGCCGAGGCCCTTGAGGAAGGGGAAGCTGTAGACGTAGCCGGTGCAGAAGACGACGGCGTCAATGTCCGTTTCGATCTCGCCGTTGGCGAAGCGGACGCAACGACGGTCCGGGATGAATTCGACAATCTGGGGCATCGTCTTGGCCCAGCAAGGAACCGCCGGATCTGGCTCGGAGCGGCGCTCCTTTTCGGAGATTAGAATGGGAAGCTTGGCCGTCGTCGAGATTTGGGCGCTAATGTCGGCGCCCGATGCAGAGTTGCCGACGACGACGACCTTTTTGTCCGCAAACTGTCCCGGACGTCTATACTGCTTCGAGTGCGACACGCGCCCCGGATGCGCCTTGATAAAGGCGTCGAGCCCGGGGATGCACGGCGTGAAGGCTTCGCTGTAGTGCCCATTGGCGATGACGACGGCATCGTAATACGCCGTGGAAAGCGCGTCCGACCCGCTGCGGCATGTCTGGACCTCCCAAACGTCGCGGCCTGCTCTTGCGACCTTTTGCACGGAAACGACCTGCGTCGACAGGTGGACCAGCTTGCCGAGTGGCTCAGCGTAGGCGTCGAGGTAACGCTTGACGACCTCGTGGCGAGGGAACAATGCCGAGTCGGCCGGAAAGTCCAGATCCGTGTACTTCATCAACGTGTGCGTGATGTTGGTCTCGAGCAAGTCATAGACGGGAGACACCCACCAGCCGCGGTCCTCTGCGTGGGGCGTGTAGGCCCAGACGCCGCCGACTGTTGAATGCTGCTCAAACACGTCGACCGTTGAGAAGGTCTTCTCAGCGAGGAGATATCTGATGCCTCGTTTAGCAGGAATGCTCGGACGCTTGGCACGAGCGAGGGAACTCACTTGGCGGCTGCGAGGCCACTGGGACCAGCGCCGATGACGGCAACGCGGTCAATGTCTGATGCCCGGCACCTCTGTGCTAGCGACATGATGCGAGCAAAATACCGAGTCAATAAAGTTCATGATGCACGGTAACTGCGTGACCCCGACTCGCTTATAAACGTCTCTCAACGCATTGCGACGTCTTAATGCCAAGCTGCTGCCGTATCTAGGAATGATAAATCAAATCCCACTGTCGGGGTGGCGCCGACTATTTTCGCCAATTTGCGTTATTAGTGCACATCACGCAATTGCTTGGCCTCCATCTCGTCGTGAAAATGGGGCACGTCGGGTGGGCACTCAATTCATCACGACTTGGTTCTCAGAAGGCGCTGTTGACTCTTCAAGGGGACCTAGAGAGGCAGTAAAGACAGAGGGAAAAAAAGGCGGACGTGTGTGCGCCTGACTTTCCTACCATGAATAATAATGACGACCTGCGGTCCAACATCCACCGCTTCCGGGTCCGCCGCACATCCACGGCGCCCGAGTCGGCACCGCGCCAACGCCGACGCTCCGCATCGCCTCTCGTCGTCGGGCCGCTACCACCACCTCCACCCGCGGCGCGCGACAATCCCGCCTGCGACCGCTGCCGCCGCTTCAAGAAGAAGTGCAGTCGCACGTTTCCCGTGTGCTCGCTATGCGCCCGCGCCGGCCGCGACTGCTCCTTTTCGGCCGCCGCTGTAGTCTCGTCGTCGGCCGCCGTGGCCGAGGCGCAGCACCTGCGAGCCCGCGTGGCCTGGCTCTCCCGCCTGGTCGACGAGAACCTCGTCGTCGTCGCCGCCGCCGGGTGGTCCCGTAGTAGTAGCAGCATCGAGGACGTCGCCACCGGGTGCGATCTGACGGGAAGGCTGGCCAGCCGCACTCCTGCGGCGGTGCCGGCCGTGACACCCGACCGGCACCTGGCTGCTCAGGCCCACTGCACGGGGGCGATGACGCCCGACTCCGACTCCGTACCAAGCCTAGGGCATCAGAGCTTGGGTGCCGATGCTCGTCTCGCCGCTGCCCGACACGATGGGCTCGACTCGGGCAACGGCGCCGCACCGCAGGACCCTCTGGCCCGGACACTGGTCGACGTCTACTTCCGCCACATCCACCGGGCATACCCCTTTATGGACCGGGCCAGGGTGCTGCGCGACCTAGATGCCCTCGGGTCTGCGGCGTGGCCGCCGCGGCGCGCAAACTCTACCTTGCTCTTCCTCGTCATGGCCTTGGGCTGGACGACCCTCCAGCGCTCCGGGCAGATGCCCCGCGACGCGGCCGGCTTCTCGTTGCACGTTTCCAGCGCAGAAATCCTGCAAGAGTGCCTCCTCAAGGACAAGGACCTTGAGTCCATCCAGATCCTCGTCCTCCTCGCGCTGCACTGCATGTACGACCCGGCGGCGGCGTCGACGTGGTCCGTCGCCGGCATCGCCGCTCGGCAGGCCATGGCCTATGGGCTGACCCGCCGCGCCTCCGACGACGCCTCGCTCTCGTCGACGGACAAGGAGCTCCGCCACCGCCTCTTCTGGAGCACCTGGGTCCTCGACCGGCTCATGGCGTACTCGACCGGCTTTCCCCCAGCGCTGCTGCTGTCTGACGAGCCCGTCGACGTCCCGCTGCCCGGCCTCGCGATTGAGGAATTCGCCTCCCCGGAGCGGCAGCGCTTCGCCTCGGCCCTGCAGACCCACCGGCACGTCGTCCGTCTCCGGCAGCTGGAGCACCGCATCCTCGTGCAGGTGCTGTCCGGCGATGAACCCGACTCCGACGCCGCCGCCATCTCCCGGCACGGCCGCCTCGCCGCCATGAGGCGGATGAGGACCGAGATCGAGGACTGGTACAGCGACGGCTGCCTCTTGTCACCCGTGGAGCCGGACAACATACCCATCCACACGTCGGTCGCGTGGCTCAGCGCCAGATACTACCACCTGCTGCTAATGCTGCACTACCCGTGCCGCTTCAACGGCTTCGGGGCCATCGTCTCCCCGCTGGACCTGCTGCGCTTCGTGCAGAAGCACCTGCAGTCGACCCGCGTCCTCCTCCAGCAGCGACAGCTCCCGCTGAACCTCGTCACCCTGGCCCGCAGCCTGCCCGTCGGCCGGGCGCTCGTGCACTGCCTGATGCGCGGCGCCTCGGAGCCCGCGGCGACCGACGAGCTCGACACGCTGATTGACGTATTCAAAGCCTTTCCTGAAAACTGGGCGCACGCCCGCCGAGCGGCGCACGTGTTCCGCCGGGTACGGATGGCCATGGCAGAGGCCTCGGCATTCTCCGACGCCCGACGGCAACCCGGCGACGGGTCTACATCGTCGTACCAAGCGCTGCTGAAGCCGCTCGCTGCGGCCGTGACGACCGTCATGGAGGACGTGCTCGGCAAGACGACGTGCTATGCCATCCCCGAGCTTCTCTGCGAGCAGGCTGCTGGCGACGGCGGCTTTTGTCCTTCTAGCTCGCCCACGAATCCGATGCAGTCTTGCATGGCCTCGGTGCACGACGACACGGCGGCGGAGCATGGCTGGGACTCCCTGCAATTTGCATTTCTGTAATGAAATCTAAGATGGGAGACCTGCATTCGCAGTACATGACCAAGCGAGAGTCTCACGGACTGCCCGGGCTGTGCCACCTAACGTGTCACTGCACGCAACCCCCTGGCTGCCGTACAGCTAAAAGAAGCATAGCATAGTGGAAAAAATAGTGCGCATTAGTGTGCATTATATGCATTGATATATATAAAGCTAGTTAAACTAGAGCTTCGGAAATCGGAACTGTTATCCTCTGATAATATAACCGTAGCTTGGACCCACAATATGCCTCTAGCTAGGAGTGCTATTTAGAATAAAGAAAGGCTAGACAAGGCTATATATACTTATTTATATTATATATATAGATTCTAATAGAAAGACCCGAGTTATTACAATTGCCTAAATGGGTTACTATGCCTATTGTATATTTATTACTGTGTTATAGCAGCTACAGCTCTTTAATGAGTATTTATATAGAGTCAGACTCGGACATGCGCGGCCAAGAAAGCGCGCAAACTGCAGGACCTGCCCTACCTAGTCAATGAATCGCCTCGCAATCTTGAAACGCCTCCAGTAAAGCAAAATTTCCTCAAGTATGCAAAGTATGCCATAGATGATTCTTAAGCATACTATCTTATGCGCTTACGCGTATTAAATGGGATACTCTAAATGAGACCTGTGAACTGCCACGTTGGAGATGATGGGCATTTCTTGACGTAGGAATGGAGCACTTTCCACGTCTGGCCCTTATCTAGAGATAGAGACACCTGATAGCTCTCCCTATCGCGGGGGATACTGCTAGCCAGGGTAAAGATATGTCTGGCCGGGCTGCCAGCTCATATCTGGAACAAAATTGCATGTTTCTTCTCAAGTGAATTCTTGTACGCTGGTCGGAAAGTGCCCAACGCCAAGGACAACGTCCAAGAATTGGATCAAGTGGCTCTGCGCATCAGTATCTCCACTGTATTGCCAGAACTGATCCGCGCCAGAGCCATTCGTACATCACACCATGGGGCAGACCAGCCATGTTTTGCTACCGGCAAGGTATGGCCGGATCTGAAGGTGGAATGTAGCCGTGCATGCGACTCAATAGGTAAGATCCGTCAGTGTGTGCATAAGCAGGCATAACTAAGACTTGGAGCAGAACCTGTATCAGTTGGTTTCCGCACACCAGGTTGTGCCCTAGCCAGCAGGTTCTAGCTCGTACTGGCTGACTGCCTGCATCTGAGTAAAAGTCTTACTGGCTTGATCTTATTCGGCTCAAAGGTTGCGCAATACAACTTTTAGGAATTGATCATCGCGAGTATCTAACTACTGACGTCTGTTTGATATGCCCGGCTCTACGCATAGCAGGCCCTTGCGTATAATCTATCGGTCTAGCTATATCATGGCTTCACCTGTTGCATTCTGTCAACTAACTCAAAGAATTCCTTCGTGGTTGCATCGACCTTGACTTGGCCAGTGCAGCGACGTGCGGTCTTTGGTGTTGACTCCGGGGCGGTTACAATGTTCCTGGAACTGTCTGTCCACCTCCTCGAGCGACTGTCCGGGCTGTCCGGGCTGCCCGACTTGTCCGTTTCTTAGTCGGCGAACAGGCCCCGTTGGATTCGATCGAAGACGACGTTTGAGCTCCAGCCTGGCACTCGATGACGCTCTAGATGAAAACGATTAGCACCATTATTAATTTGTGGCTTGTCGGGACAGACACGGTCAATTCTTACAATGTAACTGCCGAGAAAGCTCTTGTCGCCCTTATCCTCATCCAGAAGATACATTCTGCACTTGGAGCACTAGATTTTTCGCGCGTCACGTTAGTCTTGACCATTGCCTTTTCCTCTTGTTAAACCAGAAACTCACCTCGACGCCCTGATCTTGGCAGTACTGGCCAAGCTGGGTAAGCTTGAGAATATCGGATTTAGGCGTCTTGCGATCAAACTCCTCCTTGCACTTGTTCACCAGTTCTCTCTCCTCATCCCACTTGTCCGGATCCTCTCCGAAATAATCTTCGCTGCAAATCGTGCGTCCCAAGTCCGCGTCCGCCCGTGTGGAATTGCATTTGATAGCGGTATCCTACAGATGGTAGATATTAGAAACCTAGCCCGAGACTAGAAGAGGGGCCAAGAGAGATGAGAGAGATTGTTACCGTTTTACTGCAAAGCATATTGTAAGCCGTGGGAAAACTAGCTAGGAAATTCTTCAAAGTCTATAGTTTCTCATCACATTAGTCTACACAGAAGACAAGAGAATACGACCCTGGGACTTGGGTCTGCTTATTATATAGGATATGGGTACTTACATCTCCGTCTTCGTTTAGGATTCTGCCGGCAACGCAACTCTGAACCTCTGCCAGCGCGGTAGTCTTGTCCACTATACTCTTGGTAAAGGTAGCGTAATCCATGACACACCAAGCCGTGTTTGAGTGGCATGTCTCGCGTGCGACGTCGAGACTGTCGCAAACGGTCATAAAGTCGGTTGTGTCCTGTTCGCGAAGTAGCTGGTTAGTTTCTGTGGCATTCATGTTATTAGAGGTGCTTGGGAACTATCACATACGTTTACAATGATAGGTGTAAAGGTGCAGAGAGTTATATCGTCCTTGGTGACCTGGTCAGATACATTGGACTTCTTTACCTGGTCCCCAATGCACTTCTGTGCATTAGATCGGCAGTTCTGATCGGGCTTTGTTGGCGAATTGTGTCGTCCGGTCTCGAACCAATCGCAGACTTTCTCTGGGGTCACCTAGCCGCTCCCATTAGTATTGCACTGTTGATTATCAGCGGGCTTGCTTCCTAACAGCTACTAACATCTTCTTGTCGAACAGCGGCGGAGCGAGCGCTGCCGATGCTAGCAAGTGCCAGAATAATCAAATTGAGGGACTTCATTCTCGTATACTTGGAGTCTCAAACGATTGTAATTTAAAAAAAAAAACACGAGTGTAGCTAGTTCGGCAAGTAAAGAGAGTATAACAAGTTGAAGATAAACAAGATGTCAAGGAGAGTTGACTTGGAGTCAAAGACAGCTTTATATACAATAATGGGCTTATAGCTACCGATACTCTTATTCGGCGATATAGCATAATGTATAATCTCCCTGATGTGATGATTTAATGCTACTACGTGTTTGACTCGCCTCAGCTTATTGCCAAGGTGGTGCAGGACTAGCGGCAAGTCAGTCAATACTGTAATGCACATTACGCCACTTTTAATACGCATAGAAAATATCCAAGGCCCAAGCTGGCAGGCAGGGTGTATAGCAGGGTGGCGATTAACACAACATTAATCAGTTGACGGCTATTGTCGGACATACGGGACAATAACCGCCCGCTTTTTGGTGTAGCAGTCTCTAACGGCTATCGTGTAGGATGCAGGCCAACATACCTGCGACAAGCAGCTAGTTTGCGCCCATAAAGTAAAATGAAATTACACATGTAGTTCGAGGCGTTCGGTAATATGAAATCTAGCTCAGATTTTTCTCAAGTTTATCTGTGCCTATAGGCATGTTTGTCGGCTTGGGAGCGCTGCCTTTGTGCAAGCAGGCACGTGCCGCAGCCATTGCTGCTTGCAAAAGTTACGCGCCCTCGTCTGATCGTCGTCTCACAGCTACACCGTTCTATCCTCACCAGTATTCAGCACCGCCCTCACATTTGATTCAATAGTGAAGCCACGCAAGGCGGCATTCTTCCTACATAAGAACCCTTTACTCTCGCTCAGATGAAACGGTAGGCCTACAAGGCCGACGACAGGGTGTGGTTGACTGTATCCCGGTGGCTCTCGTCGTTTACGAAGAAGGAATCGCCAGCCACCACAACAGCAGCATTTCATGAATCTCTCCCCCAACCCCCCGCGAATTAATCGCGAAACGAACCGTGTACGAACTTCCGATTCTCAATCGCAGGGTCTTCCCAGAGGGAGACGAGCCCCTCAAGGCTCTCTATCGAATCTACGAGCATCTGCTTCTGGATCAGTGGCTCGAGATTCGAAATGAATTCGAAGCATTTTGGTATCACAGCTCCTGGGCCATATGCGAAATACCAGACCCAAAAGACCCTGACCCGGAACGGTGTGCGTGCTTGGCTTGCATCCCGAAGCTTCTAATCAGCGCATCCAGTTTGGGCTGCCGAGAGACGCGCCGCCCATTTTTACCGGCAAGATGATGGAGGAGTGGAAAAAACGCGACAAGCAGTTCGAGGAGCTACCTGCGTGGGTGGAAGGCGTGCCGCCAGTTCGGGACCTGCTTGCGATTCCGCACTGGGAGAATAGCAAAAGGGACTTTGTTACTTTGACAGGGTTTCAGGACGAGGGCTCCTCGCCCGAGTGTGCAAGCAAAAACATACTTATTCTGCAACCTCATATACATTTTATATAAGCAGAATGGACATGACTAATGAATAAACTGAATACAAAAGTAGACGGCGACCAGTCAGTTTCCATACGGGTGGCATATTAGGCAGACGCCTCAAAGCTACTTTGTTGGCTGTTTACACCAAAATCAAACATATCTACCTCGTTCGCTCACACTAGAGCCGTGCCATCCACAATCTCGTAGAATTATAGCAACGTAGCCTGCTCGATTGACTGCACACGACATCATGTTGCTATTCGGCTGGCGGCTATGCAGGAACACCTCATGATGTAGAGTGGTGGCCCGAGTCGAAAACACTGGTCATTGTAGAGCTTGTCAAGTTAGTGCTTGCCAGGGCGACAGTGATTTTTAGCCGCTCAGTGTCACATGGTGGTGGGTGGTTGAGTGTATGTTGTGTATTTCCCCTTTCACCATACTCACACAAAGGGACCCTGGACGAGGAATACCTAGCCGTATTGTCGGCCACAACCCCGTTCCTACATCATCATCAACACAGCGACTTCTCATCCCTTCTTCGTCGCCTCTAAGCCATGGCTACGACCATCAGTGGCCCTCTGCCAACGTGGCGCCCGCCTCAGCAAACGTCCTGGCAACGCTTCCGCAAGAACCCGGCGCTGTTCGTCGCGCAGCACCTCTACCGCCACAGGGCGCTCCCGCGGCGCCCGCCCGACCCAGAGAGTCCCCTCACCGTCGTGTGCATCTCCGACACTCACAACACGCAGCCCGCCGTGCCGTCGGGCGACATCCTCGTGCACGCCGGGGACCTCAGCGTCGGCGGCACCTTTGCCGAGCTGCAGGCGCAGCTCGCCTGGCTCAACACGCTGCCGCACAGATACAAGGTCGTCATCGCGGGCAACCACGACCTGCTCCTCGACCCGGCGTTTGTGGCGCGCTCGCCGGATCGCATCTGCGAGGAGGAGGGCGCGGCGCGGAGCAACCTCTATTGGGGGGATGTCGTGTACCTGAATAATACGTCGGAGCGGCTGAGGTTTCCTGGTAGGAAGGCTGTGCACGTGGTTGGCTCGCCGTGGACGCCGAGCTTTGGGAACTGGGCGTTTCAGTACCCGGATGTACGCGACGTGTGGGACGGCATGGTGTCGGAAGACGTGGATGTCCTGCTGACGCATGGGCCGCCGAGGGGCCATCTTGACGACGGGGGGAAAGGGTGTCCGCAACTCACCCAGGAGATTCTACGGGTGCGGCCGAAGCTGGTCGTCTTTGGCCATATTCACGTTGGCCACGGGGAGGAGCGGGTTTCGTATGATGGGTTTGAGAGGGCATACGGCGAGATTATGGGTGGGAATGATACGCTGCTTTCGGCGATGTGGATGCTGTTCTGGTTCTGCATCTCGCGTGTTGGCAGCATGTTTGGTTGGCATGCCACGGCGAGGACGACGATGGTGAATGCTGCGGTTGTAGGGGCATCGATGGATCATGCAGAACATGACGGCATTGTTGTCAAGATATGAGGGTTGAGACCCGACAAGCAATGTGGCATCACCAACAACGTGAAAATCGTGAATAGCGGCTACAGCTAACGATTGGACAACACCTACACCACCCCACGTACATGCGCCATCGGACGAGGCTGGTACCGTGCCAGAACAGAGTAGCGGGCGATCCAACAGACGCGATGCTGAGAAAATTCCCATGTCGCTTAGCTAGTCATAGTAGTAAAGCCATGTTTTGTTTATTTCCCCGGTTTTAGCGTCTTCAGCCTAATTAGGAATGCCAGTTAGCAAAATGCATCCATGCATGGTCCGTCACTGTAGACCATAGAGCAACACTTACTAGGAACTCTGCAAATTCGGCCATCATTTCTCCTTCAAAGGAAAACGACTTCTCGGTCCACTCTTCGCATTTCCCTCGTTGTACAATCTGCGCACAGTCAAAGTCGATCCAGAGGACTCTATCACGGGGCTGCTGCCGAACAACCATCATATTTCGAGGAAAGGTGTCACCATGGAGGAGGCCCATTTCGTGAAACTCTTGTAGAGTTTGAGAAAGCCGCTTAATGTTATCGTCTAAGAAGTTTTCAGGTCCGATTCTTTGTAGATTTGGAATATATTCGAGAAGGACAGCATCAGGCGGAAACACGTCGGCTTTCAAGTGGGATAGGTCAGGCCAGAGCGCAACATCGATATTCTCTATTGTTCCATAGAAATCGGGAACGACTCCTCTTTCACAGAATCCCTTGTCTTTGAGAAGTCGGTACGCTCTGGATTCTCGCAGAAACAAGCGAGGCTCGACATCAGGGCTGAATGATGGACAGTCGCCTTGGCCTCGGAACTGAGACGGCGGTTACTCTTTGTGGTCGGTTCAAAGGATTAGCAGAAAAGGCTTACCACTTTCATGATACACAGCCGGTGGCCTATTTTGACCTTGTACACCATGACGCGGTCATTTTCGTCCTTTTTCAGCACGTTGAGAAATTCGACCTCAGAGGGCTGCACCATGGTCGGCGGATCCGCCGCGGCGTTGGGGGGTCCGAAGACGGCTTCTGCAAGGTAGGCTGTGATGAGAACCAAATGAAGCGAAATGAGGGATGCGCCTGTATGGTAAGAGAGTGTGGATTAGGTGCGAAAAGAAAGGTGTGGAAAGCAGCAAGCGCTTGCAAACAAAGCGAATCACGAAGTGTCATGACGGGACAGCAAATGAGGTGGGGCCACAGCGCATGCATCATGGTCCGCCATATTTACCTTGCACCACAGTGTTTAGCCTCTTCTTACAGGTAAACATGTTTTGGAAATTAGTAGCTCCTACCATGCAAGATAATTCATCACCCTGCCTGGGGGATATAAACTCGGTATGGCTTGGTACAATGGGCCGATGTGGAGCGAGCGTACTGAATTTCTGAGGGCACTGCAGCAACATCTGTTACTGGCCCTGAACAGCTGTACAACCCGCTATATTACCACGAGCCCGCTGAGGCGCGCCGACCATTCAAGCGAGGGCTACACTGAACTTCACCAGAGAACCTTGTTCGGTGGAATACTGCTTTTCCTCCCCTTCTGCTGCTTGGCTCCTAATGACTAGCTCTGTGACAGCAAGAAAGGGTTCAGTGCCTGACGGTGGTAGTTGTCCAACAGTGGACAGCCGTACAGCGCCTTGTTATAGTGCAACGTCGGCCGCACACTGCTTCTATCACCGCAAACGCACTACATGCACACAAGCCCAATCACGTATCTGTGGTAGAATAGTATTCCAATTACGGCGAGAATTATCTGAAACCCTATTTCTGAACACAACCTTGTGGGACTGCAACCCCATTGAAGCGGTCCTTGATCCAGGCTATTGCCATTGGTGCGCCGGATGTATACAGATCCAGATGTGAAGACGAGGCAATTCTCCTATACTCCAGCGAAGCCCCAGAGTCACAGTACGACTGGACCAACTTGTCAGAATCTGCCACAGCGCTCACTTCGTCATCGATGGCCTTGTAGACGAGCATCGGGATACGGGGCGTGTGCTGTCCCAAATCGTTGGCCGCCATGAGCTCGGCGACAAAGGTGCTGTTGAAGATGCTGGGGTCCTTGCAATACGTGAAGACGTCCTCAAAGAGAAACTCTGCAAAGACAGCGCCGATACATAGGCTTCTCACTCCGTCGACCTTGGCCTTCTTCTCCGGAAGCACCTGGTCCTCAATCAGAGAAGCAGCCTCGGGATACTCGTTCCCAAGACCTAATATACCGACAGCAATCAGGCCGGCGTAAACACTTTTGTGGACGGCGGAGAGCACAGAGAGGATGCTTGCGACGGGGCCGCCCAAGACCGCCCCTATAATCTTCAGCTCCGGTGCGTACGTCGGCTGAAGCTCAGCAGCGAATCCAGACCCAAAGGAGCCGGAAGAATATCCCCACATTGTGATCAAAGGGTCTTGTGCAAGGCCTGTAAAGCTGGACGAGGCAAGGGTGGCGCGTATTCCGTCCAAGACGGCGTGTCCGGCCAAGGTATTTGCGAGAAATGCAGCCTTGGGCCCCAAGTAGTCGGGAATCGTAATGTACCAGTTCATTTCGACCGCACTCTTGATGATTTCGACCTCGGTCAACGCAAGGATGTCGCCGCCGGGGCCGCCAGTCTCGCTTCCCTGCTGGAACACGTACGAGGGACAGCAGTTCGGGTTGGCGGCATCTTCGGCGACTTGATAGGACAACAAGTTGGTATTGGTCGCATTGTGTGGCACCAAGACCGTTGTCACTGTTGCAATGGCATTTCCAAAGGTGTCAAATTTGGTAGGCGGCAGCAACCCAGGCTTGGCGACAGAGGACTTGGCACGGGTCTGTTGCGCAGAATCGTGCCTGGCTTCGCCTCCTCGAAGCCGCAGGGTGGAGTATAAAACGAGTCGTTGATGGGAAGGACAGGCCCAAGAGCATGAGTTTGCGCAGCGAAAAGACCACTTATAAGAGCCAACTTCAGGTACAACATTTTTGCCGATTTTTTCTAAAGCGCAAGAAAACAACAGAATTAAATTTCCGAAAGCGAATGAACAATGGAAAAGACTACGCAAATAGTAGGAAAAGAGGCACAAATATAAGATGCGGAAGAGTGACGCGTCTGACGTATGCCAGCCGCGTGTCTTGCGGCTACCGAGTACATATGTCTACTTGTGCTAGCCTTCACCGTCCTCACCGCGTCGTTCTAGATGGCTTTGCCGGTGTGCACATGTAGTCTTCGGCACATATTCGGTGATCAGAATAGGCGCCCTTTTAGTCCAGACGAAGTGGGCACGTTTTTGAAGTGATGGACCGCCTGCTCTGGCTGGATGACGTGGCAGACTGTGGGCTAGGGTGCATTCTGGTCTCATTTCAACCAAGAGAAGCAAAGATGGTAGTCGGCGTGTCCTACGAGCAATGCCAGTAGCTTGCGTGGCTCATAGGAAGTTGTGGATTGATGGGACATGGCCAAGTTTACGTACTGTGCTCCGTATTGTACATGTGCCCGCACCCACTTCCACAGCGGGTAATCTAGATTCGTAAGGCATAACCTATCCACAAGTAAGGCTGATTGATCTAAGGGCATTGTCTTCTCCTGTGATGGGCCCACCTGGACGTAGGAGGCGCCGCCTCTATGTATTACCAGGAAGTGATCATGCGCAAACAGACTCGAGATAACGCGGTTATCCAGATTTCCGCACGTCAAAGAAAACGACATCATACGGCTCTTCAGAGGTATTTACCATGATCCGCAGCAAGTCATCACCCGTTGGCCCGGCGTATAGTCGCCGAAAGCCGAGAAGAAGAGATTGGGGGCGTTGTTGCCGTATGCAAACTGACAAACACAAACAAGAAAAACTGGCTAAATTGAGAGGGCTCCGACGGCAGAGCATATTTACTCTTTCATTCAGACAAGAGCAGCACATCTCTATTTTAACATGGAGTTGCCTCGCCAGAAAAATATTTGCCACGGTCTAGATCAGCAAGTCCGCCTAGCTTGGAATCCGCTGGGAAGGTCCCGTTCGCTGCCCATAGACTAATCAGGTCGCGCATGGGCTGAACATCACCACTCTGTAGCATGTCGTGTGTTACTGTCACCATCAAAAATGAGCCGAAACAGCTATTCAAGGACTTTTCAAGGCTCAGGTGGTAGAAATCTTCGAAATGATTCCAGTAAAGGTGAGCGTATATGCGGAACATTTGCCGGCATATGAGACGGCAGGCCGCGGCAAAATTCTGAGGGAATCCGCTCCGACAACCCAACCAATTTTCATCAGAATTACCAGAAAGATCTGTCTGGCACGCGTGATGCGGATAAAGATTGGCTGTCGCCCCGAGAGGGTCGGTAGGAAATAATAGTTCGTCGTCCAGCTTCCTCGAAATCCAGTCCCGGATGACTGTAATATATTGGTGCGCGAGGAGTCTGACCGGTTGCTCATCTTCGTCGATCCAAGTGTAGCAATGCCTGCATTTGGTTAGAGGGCATAGCGACGATTTTGGTCAAAACACTTGGTCAAAACACTTACTCTCCAGCCGACATAGTAGGGCATCTCTCGGCGTTGCAGATTGAGGTACTGTCCGAGTCCAGCTCACTGACAACACGAACGAATGCCGAGAGTAGCCGATATTGCTCAACGACTGGACGCTATACTAAGTATTCAGACCAACTTCCATTGCGCGTTGGCACCTTACCTTGATGGGCAACCCACTCGCCCTTGTCAACACACTTTGGCGGGACAGTGAGGGTCAGAAGATTTCCTTTCGTTATTAACTTTGCACATTCACGGTGCAGCCATAATGGGCGACCTTCGACGTCGTTTGAAGCCATGGGAATCGACTTGCAAGGTAGGAATGCTGCGTAGATGGCGGGGTGAAACAGGGGGGATCAAGGATCAAGGAGGCAACACAGCTTGACATACACAACGGCGCACGTGACTCCAACCAAATGTATTCAATAGTGGTTGTTCGCGTCACCTCGAGATAAAGCTCATCGTTACACCACCTTTACATTAAATATTTACCTTCTTTTATAATCACTATTACTTATTCTTATAAAATGTCTATTTCACAGCAAGCCACACTTAGGCTCAGCCTTATCTCCTACAAGACACTCAAAAAGTATTCCCTGACTGAAATTTCTTCCACAAGTGAACATTAAGCTCCGAATACCTTCACAAGTTCACCATGGCCGATGCGTATTTTTGCCGAGCAAGCTCTGCTTTTAAGGGGTATTGCATCACGCAAACACAGATCGAGACCCTCAGGGCCTACATTGACGGCACAAGCACGACTGAAGAAGCCGTTGCATTGTTGGTACCGTATCCAGAGGCCTCCTCCAGTCCAGTTGAGATGAAGCAGCGACTAGGCGGGCTGTGGACGCTGCTCAACGACACTGCTGTAAACCTTGAGTTTGCTCAGCCACAAGTGATAAAGATGCTCAAACACATCCGGACACTACCGGGGCGACCTGAGCCAAAAGGCGCGGGAGAAGATTTCATCGATCTCGACAACGGTTTTTACTGGAGAGAACTAACCGACTGGGGAATCAACTGGGCGGACGCTTTCAACAGTAAGTCAAAATAAAGTCATTTGCTTCAAGTTACAGTATCTGGTCCGTCATAAGCTAGATAATTCGACGGCTGACTTGGAGCCTTTCCAGGCTACAGTGCTCAGCTTTTCAACGCTGCCTGCCCGACACAAGAGGAGCGCGCCGTACGCAAAAAACGCTGGAATAGTGCCTGTAGGTACTCGGCGCGTCTAGCCTCTACTGGCGATGCAACACTGTCCCTTGGCGCCAGTCTGGATCTTGCTACGAAGGCCATCTCAGAAGGTCTTGAAACAGACTTAACTGAGCAAGTCTCTGGATACCTCGATACTGCAGCGCAGGTGTTCGAGCATGCAAGCGGGGAGTTGTGGCGTCGATGCAAAGAGACGCAAGCTGAGGATGTCTTGTCAAGTTCCAATGGGCTATGGCGTGGCCAAGCGGGTTATTCTATGGATCGCTGGCAGTTTTGGAAGGATAGGTGGAATTCCTTGGCGGAACAGCAAGCTATCTCTCCCAATATTCGTGACTTGGCAAAAGAAGCGCTATCACATATGAACATGGTGGAACACTGAAGATCGTATCTCGGTTGGTCGGAGATGGCGATTGCTATCACCTGGTGCTACATGCTGCGTCCAGAGAAGCCTCGTCAAGGAATTCAGGTGTCGTAAGTGGGACTATTATAAAGGGAAAAATTAGGGCATTTTTATAGTATATTTAATTATCCCTATAATTTCATAGTGGTTATCGTTAACTTAAGATAAAGTTTATTATTATACTACCTTTATAGTAAATGTTTACCTTCTTTCATAATAACTATTGCTTGTTCTTATAAAAGGTCTATTCCGCAGCCACACTTATTAGGCTCAGCCTCATCCGAAAGCCAAGGTGGCTGTGACTGGCGCTGCCCGTCAATATCCCTCCGCCCACAGGATTCAAGCCCCTGCAGCCTTGGGCATCAAGGTCAAACCCCGTGCCCTCACACCCCTGCGGTTGTTCTGATACCCTACCAGAGGGCGTAATTGGGCGGAGACTGCATACTGCACCCACCAGGATGCTGCCCGGCTACCTAAGGGCAAGTGGTACATAAGGTGGTCGAGGAGCGGGCTCACCGTCGGGAGCAGTACTCTAGTTTACACCGATTCCAAACGATTTGGATTATTTCAAAACGATGATGGTGCCTGCTACATAGAAAATTTGCTTCCCTCGGAAACGACAGAGGTAACTTGCTGGCCTCGCATGTTTGTCGCTGTGATCATATTATAGCCCTTGAGCTCGTTTTCCCCCAGATTAACCTCTTCGACCCCGACAAAAGCGGGCTCCTTCTGCTCCTCCTTCTGCTGTTCTCTATACCAGCCCACACTTTCAGCACCATGCTTTTCTGGCTCGTCCATCCACTCTCTGGGCCGAAAGAATCCCGGCTTCTTATACTGCAGCTTCCTGACCCTGATTGCGAAGATGCGATCGTCGTGCGCCTTGGACTCTTGCAGCCCGATCGAGGGAACAGATGGGGCATTGACTAAGACGCCGCCCAAGTTCTTCGCCCTCGTAGCCTCGAATGTTGGCCCGCAGCTTTCGTCAGTGGCCGCCCTGCCGATTTTGATGCCGGTGATGTAGAATATGGGGCGGTAGTTGGACTTTTTCAGAAAGGTCTGGACCGCCTCCGCTTGGCCGGCATTGCTGTAGTCCTTCGGAACAGGTTCAAACTCGATTGTATCAACGGCGCTGAAGCTGTACTGGTCCACGTTGCCGCGTGCGCTGCTGACCAGGGTCTTGTAGCCAAGGCCTTTAAGAGCGGCAAGTTTGAACTCAAACACTGCCTTGACTTTCAGCGCATCATTCCGCGTGGCTTTGAAATCGCTCTCATGCCAGCTATCGAGCCGTTCCGGGTCAATCGTGGGCTCTTTGCCGGCATTGAGCCTTGTCAGGTCTCTGATGCTAGATATAATCGTCCCGAGCCGCAATCGATTGACCGCAGTTGGTTTTCCGAGTATGTGATACTCGGGAGTGCTTGCAACCATGGTATTATAGAAAAAGAGAATGGGGGGGATGGCGATAGCTTCGGTCACTCGGAAAACTTCACAAGGGCGCTTCTCCCAGTTCTTGAAGGGGCATGAGCACATCAGCGGCAACCACTTTCTAGTTAGTTCGGAGAGCGAAGCTCTGGCAAGCACTTTTCCGTTCTAAAAGTCGCTTGCCTGCGTGCTTGACATTGAAAAAACATCATTGGTCCATCCGCTTTAGCTCTCCACCCCCTGGTACTCGGGTGTTTTTTGCTTTCAGCTCTCTGCAGCCTGTCAATTGTGATATGTGATATGATCCTCTGTCGCGGCATAGCAAAAGTGGGAGCCACACCTTGTTAGCTGGCATGAATTTGACCTGAAGCCACCATTCAACATCCTTACGGTGGCACATTACATCCTCCCTAGTTCACGGGACGGTCCGCCTGCCGCCGCCCCCGGCTCGAGGCCTTACCCCGCTCAAGCCAGCTATACCATTGTCGTGCGTGATATGTAGTTACTCAGTACTCAGCTCCTCGTATGTTTTCTAGAGCTGCATTCCTCACATAGCTCACATTGTTGAGCGATGAGTACCCTTCACCATGTTTAAAGCCTCAAAATTCTTTTCTGCTATCGCGGAGTCTTTAAATCCGCCGTGGGCAGCTGTGAAGAGAAATTTTCGACATAGACCCCAACACGCGCGAGAAAAGGGTGTGGTCATAAGCCCAGAGACGGGAAATTTCCCCGAGGCTAGTGCCAAGCAGCCAACAAACCGGAAGACACAGTGCGAGGGACCCGAAACAGTTGCCATCCAGGGAAGCCACAACACACAATCAGCCGAGGTAGAGTTCGATTTTGATGTTCTATCATTGACAGAACGTCAGGTTGGGAATGAGACCTCAGATGGTACCCTAAGCGTTGTTTCATCAAGCCGATCTGACAACGGTTCGGACCAGGCCGACAACTGTCCAGGTTTGCACGAGGCCGACAACCTTTCAGGTTCGGACCAGGCCGTCAGCCTTTCAGTTTCAGTCACGAGTCTTGTGAAGTGTGACATTGGATCCACAGGAGTCCATCTCGAAGAATTCAATGACGACCTGGTCTCTGAAGGAGCCCAGAAACACACAACGGACTGTGCTGAAGAGATCCGGCCAATGCTTGCAGATTTGAGCAGTCACACAGAACCTTGGAGCAAAGAAGAAGCTATTTCAAAGGGTGATGGAGTTTTGAATATTTCTGAAGCTCTCGCTAAAAAAATACCGCAAGCAGAGATCGCAGTCGCCTCGGATTGCAAGCCTTCAAACAACCGCAAGATCAACAGTGAACTTCAGGCCGACAAGTTTTTGACACAAAACATTCAAAAGTGCTTACAGGCATTGTTTACTACTCTTGTGCAGCAGCTGAGATGTTGTGACGAGAAGCACTTCATGCGGTTGAAACTGACAGGATTTGTTGACTCCATTGGTGATGCATCACGACCTTCTTTTGATCTGTACCTGTCAAACGGGCGTGATTGTGCGCGTTCCTATTGGGTGGAGAGTAAATGCACCTTTGTCAGGTTGGTAGTTTGTGCCACTGTGTATGCAATACTTCGATCTCGCTGATCGATCGAACAGGGAGCTAGACCATGGAGAGCAGAAGTGCTGCAATTTCATCGAGACTTCTGTAACCGAGAAGAGAAAACTCAATCTGTTGCTCGGGGAGATCGAAACTCGAGATCTGGTAACGCAAACTGTTTCAGGAGTGGGGAGTAACATACAGCTGGATGCTTCTGCGAAGTCCAATTCTTCAATCACCCCGGTAGTGTCGCTGGCAAGTCTTATTGAGCAAGATCAACCTGGCCGGGGGCCGTGCCGTATCTTGAACGCCAACGATTTTACGATCCAAGACAAGGACAAGCTTTGCTTCAACTTGGCTCTGTCCTTGGTCCACATGGCTAGTGGTGATTGGGGCAGAGTTGTGTGGTATCCTGATAATCCCGATACAGAATTGGGGATATTCTTCCTCTGGAATCCGAGCACTCGGAGGATTCCTGATATAACGAGGCCATACATGTCGTTGCGTCTACAAGAACGCTCTTCTATTGATGACTCTGCACAGAGACCAAACTGTGACACCCAGCTGTTGGACTTTGCTAGGCTATTGATCGAGATACATGGCTGGAAAAGACTCCCCAACTTGCTGTCAAGACAACTGCATGAAATGCAATCTGAGGATTCAGAGCTAGCAAATGATAGGCTCCGATGGGAACTCACAGCGTATATCCAGAAAAACTTCAGGCAACGCTCTGAAGCCGACTTTATCGCTGCTCTCATGGCCTGCCTAACTAGATACAAGCACATCGCGGCTGATGCCAAGGAGGATCCGAAAACAATCCAGGCATACATTTTTGAGAACATTGTGAAGCCATTACATCGGTATTTTGACAAACCCGAGTTGCCTAGCCAAACATTGCCGGCAAGGCTACTGCATCAAGTCGTCTCGGATAGTCCAGTTCCGCCGGAAGACTCTGTGCCGATATACGACGTATATCTTGGTTCCAATGAACCCGAAGATAGATGGTGAGCCGTTGACTCCCTCTGGGTAAGTCAGGGATTTCGTCGAGTTACTAATATCTGCTCAGTTCAAACGAATCCCAATTCTGGGACAATATGGCGACGTTTACGGAAAAATATATCAGCAGTCCTCAATTATCTAGACTTCCATCCGGCGTCGAAGCAGAGAGTCGACAGAAAGTTCGAATCGCAGTCATTGATAGCGGTGTCAAACAAGAGGACGCCCATATCGCGGCAGCACAGGCTAATGAACAGCTTCAAGGTTATCGTAACTTCACTTCCTCAGATCTAGACGATTGTGAGGATCACCTCGGACACGGGACTATGGTTGCTCGCCTCCTATTGACTGTAGCACCGGAAGCCGAACTGTACATTGCAAAGGTCTCCAACCAGAGCAAGATGCCAAAGAATCAGCTGCACCGCATTGCTTCTGTAAGAGACGGCAATTTTCACTTCATGTCAAGGTCCCGTCGAACAATTACTGACAGAGAAGCAGGCCATAAAATGGGCCCTAGAGCATTGGCGCGTGAATATCATCTCGATCTCTTTAGCACTTGACGAGCCACATTATGATATCAATGAGGAGCTCAATCATGCCCTATCTCCTATAACCCAAGGGGCCACGGGAAAGCTCGTCTTTGCTGCCGCTGGAAACTCGGCAGTGTATAAACCACAGGCGTGGCCGGCGCGCAAGCCGGGGGTCATTGCAGTCCATGCCACAGATTGGAGCGGTCAAGCGACAAGGATCAATCCAAATCCCACGGGCAAGGAAAATTTTGCAACTCTTGGCCAGGATATTAAGATGCGATGGCCGGATAGGACTGGTGAACTGAGCAACACGTACATCTCTGGCTCGTCATTCGCGACGCCCATTGCAGCTGGGATTGCTGCAAATGTGCTCGAGTTCGCTACGCATCGGTTGAAGATCAATGATTATACGAGAAGTCTCCTTTATTCCCATCATGGTATGAGGAAGGTTTTGACGGCAATGTCTCGCCGTAGGGGAGAATACGATTTTCTGCATCCGTTAGCTTTGTGGGAAGAAGCATTTCGCGGCGGTGACAGTAAAACCTGGGGTGAGGAATTGCATCTGCCACGCGACGATGATGAGAACATCTGCAAAGTGTTGACGAAGATCCTTGCTTGAACGGATGGAGTGCACCGTGATGTGCAGAAGAAGAATGACCTCGTCATTCTGACAATATTATTCGTTACTACTTATAAACAGCCTTGGACTACCCAGCGACTGTTTTCGGCGGGAGAATAATAAATGACTTTAAAAGACGAGCCGTGAGAGGTATTCGATAGCCTGTAGTATTGGGACCAACAGGGCACACATAGGATGAGGGGTAAAGTTGTTGTATTTTGTAAGTCTGTCTGGTGGTAGGGTAGCCAGATATACTAGGTGACGGGAGATCGTTCCTCCGGCTTCCGGGCCGTCTGTCATCGGCGATACCATCCCTGGTCCTGGGGCTTGTGCACAGCCCGACCCACTGCAGGTGCCAGCGGATTCGATCTTGCGATACGTTGTTTTCAATCACACCGAATTCTTGTCAGGTAACTGTCTCGCCTGCACGACAAGAAACACGTTAGAATTCGTCACTACGTTCGGCCGCAGCCTCCGTGCGTACTAACCGACCTGTCATTTCTCCCCAACTCGCTCACCCCACACCCACCACAGCGGTGATGCACGCCTGCCAGGGTATCAACCACATCTGACCTACTACCCTAAGTGTGCCTGTCTGCAGGCTGCCAGATAACCACAATGCATACTGCAGCCCGCTTCGCAACCGTGGCTTGTGCAATGTCCCTGGGCTCAAAAGCTGTGCATATACAGTTCGGATTTAGGATTCACTCTCCATAAAGGACGACTCTCCTGGCTCTACTCTACACAAATGGAGTCGGTTCTTTTTTCGCAAGGAGGAGATCCTCTCTATAACTTGTCTCGGGAGGGACACGCGACCCCCAAGGCAGCTTTTGAGTCTTTGTCGAGCGTAATATTTGGAGTTGGTCTAGAACAAGGCCATTGTTTTGGAGGCCTAGGGTCCACCGTGACACAAGCGAATCGCAGCCTTGAGAAGGCACCCGCGACACACCCTTTGATAGAAGTAGCACAGAGTATTAGCCAGTTCTGATCTTCTACGGTAGGTCTCGTGGCAAGCCAAACTTGTTTGCTCTCTACACACCCAGCGGCCAAACCCACCCCTCACTTCTGTGCATCACCTTAGCTATCTGCTTGGGTAACCGAAGCTGCCTGTGAACAATTTCCTCCGCCCCTCTGTCAGACCGAAGTCAGCAGAAGCATTCAAACATCTGCAGCCTAAACTAGGCATCAAAGAAAAATCTCGCGTCCTGTGGTGGCTGCCTGGTAACAGACGGCCGGAAGCCGGAGGAATGACCCCCCATCAACCACAGTATATATAGCATAGCTGTGTGCACCACCCCCAGACAGAACTTCAATCAATCAACTACAACTCTCTCATCCTATCTGTGCCATCATTGTCCCGACAGTTTGCTCTCCACGGCATTTCACGCCCAGCGGGCAACCCCCCCCCTCATATCAGCTGAGGCTTCTGCTCGACAGCGACTCGACTAAGCGCCGCTTGTCCGCTCAAACATGGACCCCAAGTCGGTAATGCCGCTTCGAAGCATCTGGGGTGTTTCACGGGCATGCTTGAATTTATTCGAATCATGCTCGTCGCAATGCCCAGAAGGCGCCATCGCCGAGCTCAAATCGGCGGAGTGCAGGTTTCGGGCCTGGACGAATCTATTGAGAGTGTTCAGCGAAAATGAAAGCCTAGATACGCATCTGCGTGCAGCACATTCGGAGGCGCATGCAGAAAGACTTGAGACAATCTGGGGGGTTCATATAAAGATTCTCGGTCTTTTGAAAGACGAGTTGATCTTCGGTATGCCGTCCGTTGTGACCGCAGCTTTTTAACCTAGTCTCTGCTAACATGACGCGTGGACAGCTTTCGAACGCATCTCATCCCTTCGAGAAAGGGTATATGTTACAGAAGTCCTCAAAGATCATTCTCTGTTCTTTATTAGAGAGTTGTTGAGATGCTTGGACAAGCTCGTCTCCACCACGATTCTCGCGACGATTGGCAGCGCAATACCGAAAATCACCCTCTTCGCAGCGGGGCACGACGACTTCAAGGAGCTCTCTAGGATGTTTTTAAACGTCATCCTCTCTCGATACAGCTTGCCAGTACGAAAGCTTATACTCGGGGAATCATCTACAGAAGTATCAGAACACTTCGTCCCTACCAAGGAGGTACTTCTGGCGGCGTTTCCAGAGGGCTTGTTTCTAGCTCTTGTGAAGTCTTCCATCGTACGATACTTCAAGATCTTATATGAGCGCGACCAAAGAGACACAGGGAACAGAGGAGAAACCCCAGTCATGCAGATGCTGACACAGAATGTGTGCGATCCAGCAAAAGAGGACATGACCGACTTCCCCACCACGTCTGAGGCTGGTGTTGCATTGTGTCACAGGGCGCCCAAGATTCCGGATGGGCAGAAGACAGGCACCTGTCCAATATGCAAGCAGATACTGCCCGCAGAAGAGTTCAAGAACTCCAATTGGATGTGAGTTCACAGCTTGCAGCGATCAGCGACGACGATTTGGATTCATGCTGACTCCGACAGATCTCACGTCATGAAGGACCTTCAACCTTACGTCTGCCTATCCAGCGACTGCCTGTGGGATCCTCAGTTCTTCGAGCGCCGCCAAGATTGGATCCACCATATGCACAAGTATCACACGACTTCTTGGATTTGCTATCTGCAGAATACAAACGTGTGGAAGTGCTTAAGGTGCAAATTGACGTCTCCTACGGAATTTGTCTGTTCAGACGAACTGCAAGAGAGTTTTGTCGAGCATCTTCAGAAGTTCCACCCTGACATAGAACACCCATGGTGGACACTTAATAACCACTATGAGGAGGTGCGCCAGCCTCGATCATCAAAATCCTGTCCAATGTGTGGAACTATTCCACATGGCGAAGACAAGTCACAAACCCGAACAAGTGATAACTCCGGAGTCGAAAACTGCATCGCCGAGCATCTACTGCAACTAGCTTTCAAAACCATGGACCTTTTGATGGACAAGGATCGGCCCGAACCGCAGATGGCGAACGGGAATCTTTGAGTCTTATTAGAGGGTTGTTCGATTGCCACCGATCGTGGGCATGGTGACGTTGTGTGGCTGCTTGATGAAGTGGACAACATAGGCCTGATGCCACTGTCGTGGGCTAGGTGTGGGACTATTAGGCGGCTGCTTCTTGGGAACAGTGCTACTAGTTCTACAGGACAGTCCATCATTCTAGGGGGGAGAGAAACCAGCGAGAGGCAGAGATGTAGAATGCGAAAGGAAATAGGGAGAAAATGAAATTTAATAAAGCTGAAGTTTCATGGATGCAAACGCCGAGTGGCTGCCAATAAAAGACGCCCCAAGGTTAGGAGACTAGCGTGGTCAAGATAAGGCACGGTGGTTGATCGACGCGAATTGTGATAAGACGGGGAGATAAGCGAGTGGCACCAGGCAATCTTGATAAGAAAATGATGAGGGTATATATTCAAAAGGACAGCCGCACAATGCAGAATCTAGACATACTCATCCTGTGAGCCCATGTTGACCATGGCACATTTCGTCTTGGCATTCGTCTACAGGCGCCTGCTAAGCGTCTCGAGCAGCTGAGCTTCCTCCTGTGTCAGAAACATGTCGTGCGGGACCAAGACATGTCCCGGGCGAATAACGACCTCATTCAAATCATGCTTGCAGTGCGCGACCTCGGGCCCCTCCGCCGCCGTGTCGTGGTCCGTATCCTCCGGCGGCGGCGGCGGGGGGCCCTCATTCGTCGTGGTCGCGCTCGCCGGCGCGCTCTCCGGGTCCTCCTCCTTGGCGCGGCGCAGGATGGGCTCCTTGGGGCGGAGCGCATCAGGCGTCCACCAGTAGACGGGGTAGCGGCGCTCAATGTTGTTGACGACGAGGGCGACGGCGACCATGAGGGCGCAGCCGAGCATCATGACGGGGACGAGGAACCAGCCGAGGCCGAGCAGGCGGTCGTCGACGACGGCGAGCAGCGCGGTGGCGCCGGCCGGCGGGTGCACCGTCTTGGTGAGGGCCATGAGCGCCGTCGTGGCCGCGCACGCGAGCGCGCCCCCGACGTACTGCACGCCGGCGAAGCGCGCGCCGCCGCCGCCCAGGAGAAACAGCTTGGCCACGCCGACGCCAATGACCGACGCCAGCAACTGACCGAGGAACGTATTGCGCGGCTGCGCGAGCGGAGACTCTATGGCGTAGAATTCGAGAACGGCGGTCGCACCCTGGTTTTGTTGGGTTAGCGGGCAACGACGACGACGAAACGGGCAGCAGACGTACAAAGGAACCGACAATGGCGGGCGCATGGTGGCTCTCAAAGGCTGGAATGTGCATCGAAACGACCTGCACAATGATGATGGCGCAAAAGATGCCGATAAACGCCCAAAAGGCCGGCATGACGTTGCCCGTGTTGGTCGGCTTGGTCCTGCGGTAGCCCAGGAAGTGGGCGACGGGGTACGGAATGACGCGCCATGGCGGCGAGGGCACAATGGGATTGAGGTAGCGATCAATGTCAAAGTTCCACGCGTGGTGGGCAGTCGGTCTGGGCATGGTGATGACGGACACGGTCCGGAAGAATGGGGGACCTGTACAGGCCCGAGTCGTGCAGCTTCGACTCACTCACTGGTCGAGGTTCAATGTCGCAGAGTACGCGCAGCAGACTCGGTTGGCTTTTATGGCGGGTTGGTGAGATGGGCAAAAGAGGAGGAGCAGGAACTTTTTCCCCCCCCCGTTCTTCTTCTGTCCTATGTGACTCGTCTCCCCCACGAAAACGCATCACGACACACGACGGGAAAATGACTACGATGGAGCTTTCGCGCGTCCGGCAGCCCCACGTCTCCGAACGCCGCGGGGGGGCGGGCGGGCCAACGGAATTGCTTGAACTGGACATTTCCGCGGGCCTGGTTTGCGGGCGAAGTGATGCACAGGATGAACGAGGCAAACACGGCCATCGACATGTCGTGATATGACAACGGGCTCTGCGATGCGGGGGCGGTTAAGTTAAAGATGGTGTGGTTATCGATAATATGCCCAGACTGAGGGTGTTATTCTTTTGGCAGGGCTGTCGCGGTGCAGCAAAGCTCGGCGATGGTTCGGGATCCGGGCCGTGGAATAAGGGCCGGAAATATAGATGGGCGGGCTACTAGCGCTGTGAGACATCAGACGACGCCCGTCATGCACTGTAAGCGGCAAGCTTGCGCTGTATTAGTGCCGCCACTTCGTCCGAGCTCGCCGCCGCACGATCGAGGCGATGCTAGTGTGCCAATGCCGATTTGGAAATGCCTCGAGACTTGTTCAAGAAGCAAGCATGTGGTAATGTCGTACTTGTCGCGGGTTACATTGCGCGCGGCAGTGTAGCACGCCTCGGGCTTGGCCGCCCCATCCGGCGTGGTTGCTGCGGTGCGAGGGTTGAGTCACTGGCAAGCGACTTGGGATTGCTGTTATCCCACCTCGCACCAAAACTGTAACTGCAACGCATGATTGCGCTGCTGTAAGGTGTTCTGCTGAACGAACCTGCCTACACAAACTCCTACAAGCGGTGACTACGACCTCCGGCGAGGTCACATTGTATTGCATGACCAAGTGCATAGAACAAAATCTCATTTTTTTTTTCGGGCCAAGCTCCTTACTGCTGTACGCCAGAGCTAACCTTCTAGAAAATTCGTTACGGTGGGCTTGCCTTGGTTGGTTTTGATCCCTATGACCTCTAGTAACTCGAAAGGCGGAGGCCGCTGTCGAAGCAAAACCCGCGTCGCTTTCCCAATGACCACGTCAAAACGGCGGCAGGCATTTCAAGCCACACCACGCTACAGCTTCTACTAAAGGCCTGTCGTTTATTTTAGTAGGTCAAGAAGAATACGAAAACGTAGCCTTGACATGAACCTGAAAAGTACGACGTCATCTTATCAATATAAGGTATCGCTACGCCTTAAACTTACGTAGCTCCCAGTTCACATCTGCCAAGAACTCGCGGCTATTATACGGCGTCACATAACTGTCCACCACGTCTCGCGACCACTGGCCACGTGAAGAATGTGAAGAGGACACAATGCCAACCTGATCGTCGTTCAGTCGCCGACGTTTATGCCCTTCAATTGTCCCCAGCGGTGTCTCTGCACATTCGAACCCCGGCATTACTCCGCTGGCGCTGACAGGCGCGAAATGCAAGTCTGGTTTCTTAGCCGCCATGTTCTCGATGCAAGCCATCTCGTAATGAAAACGGAGGGCCTCGAGATCGACCGTTTCAGGGACGTTGGCCCTCTGGCCGTTGAATCTGGTTAGAGCGTTATAGGGCACAAACACGCGAATACGCAGCGTAAGCGGGTGGATAGAGAACAGTCGCGCGTCAAAGAACTCGCCAAGATGCTTCATCAAGAGGATGCCATTGCCCGGGTCCCATGTGTTTTCCCAGGCTTCCTGAAGCCGACGCGGACTGTTTTCGACGGGTCCGTGCTCATGGACGGCTGTCCCGTTGGCGCTGGGGTAGAGGTGGTAGTGCTGCTGCGGTACAATATGGCAGACCTGGAGACCCGGGCCTATAATCTGACCAAAGCACCATGCCTCTCCTTCGCCAGAGACGGCACAGCAGTTTGCCGTGTTCAGACAGGAAGACCTAAACTCGCTCGCGACCCTCCTAGCCTGGTCAAGATCTAGGGCCATGCCAGCCGGCACGAGCATTTTTTTGCCCAGTTCCTCGTCCTCGGCTTGCTCCCAGCTGTCTGTAATCGGTGAAGCAGAGCCGGATGTGTATCGCGACGGCGGTGACTGAGAGCGGGCTTCAACCACCCGTCTGAGGGGCCTGACTGCGATTCTCGGGTCGGAGGAGGCCTTGTCCACCGGTAAGTATCGAGGTTCACGGCGGCGCACCGGGATCGGTAGTCGCTGGGCGCATTTTGCTTGTAGGTGGGCCTGGAGCGGTGCGTCGCTGGGCAGCTGGCAGTCTTTGTGGTGAACAACGTGGTAGCTGATGACGTTTCGTATCTGCGGACTGCGACCTGGGAGGCTCGGTACTGGTTGGTCGAAATCTTGGCTCCCTACGAAAAGCGGCACGGGAGAGGAGTATTTAACATCAGTAGGCTCCGTCAGAAAAAATGCGATATTGGCCCAGGCCGTGTCCTCGATGTCGAAGCATAGACGCAGCTCGTCGCAAACGTCACGAAACGTGACCAAGTCACTTCCTTCCACCTGGTAAATGCCGGCAAAGCCGCGCGCGTTTTGTCCTGCAGTAAATATCACATTCCAGCTGACAGCGCGCACAGAAGGCGTAACTGTGCTCGACATGATAAATCACGATATAGATGACATGAAAAGGGGAACAGATGCACACGCCGTCGGCAATGGCTTCATCACCCCAGCAACGGCGCTAACCTAAAATGGCAAACTTTCTAACGGGATAAAATGATAAAATGCCAGATTAGCAATGGGTTTCCACGACGAAGTTTCTATCAACTACAATCAACAGCTCAAACAGGCGGAGAAGGCTGGTTCAGTCACTCACGGGGGACTAAGACTGCTGCATTTTCTGTCCTTGGTGTCGGCCAGAACGCAGAGACCGTTGTCACTCCCAACACGGCAGCAGTGCGAATTCTGAAAATGACAAGCCGGTCTCTCATTGATCCAATGTCTGCAACCAGTAATTCCCAACCAGCTACAAGGCACTGTTGAACTGCGAATATGAAGCATGTCTAATACCTCTCTATCTAGTTTGCAAAAACTGTACATGAATCGAGTGCAAAGCAATCTTCAAGATTCCGGTCCAATGCCTTGGGGCGGGGGGGGGTAGAACCTCTGGACAACTAGATACGACCCTCCTTTGATGCCGCCAAAAGCTCGTCAACGGTTTGAAAGTTGATGTCCGCGAAAAACTTTTCGCGCTGCGCGACGACGGCCTCTTGAGGAAGGCCTTGGCCCCCCAGCGCGGTCCACTCCGATATTTGAAGCAAAGCTGCGTACGGGTCATGTTGGCTCACGGACTGGAGCTCCTTTCGGATTTCGTCGAGCGATGCATGTTTGACATCGACAAGCTTTCGATCTGTGAACCCCATTTTTCAGCAACAACTTCTCACGTGGCTTGTGCTTAGGATAGGTGTGTGTTACGAACCATAGAAAGCCTCCAACTTCTGGAGCAAGACGTTCCAGGTCGTCTGCTCGCCTTGGAGATATGTGTGCTGCGGCCAGGGCTCCGACGTCACGCCGAGCGCCACAACAGCCCTGCCAACATCAGCGGCGGCCGTAAACGCGGCCGGCTCGTTGCCAGTGCCCTGAACCGTGGCAGTCCAGGCCTTCATGTCGATGGGCCAGATAGACTGCGCCGACTTCATGTGGCTCTTTGGGCCGTACGCGCCCTCGTCCTCGAAGATGGCGACATAGTCCATGATCCAGCCCTGGTTGATGACGGTCCACTGCAGGCCGGCGGCGGGCGGCAGCGCGGCCAGCTCGTCGCAGAACGCCTGGTGGCCGTCCTGGTAAAAGGCCGGGATGCCGGGGAAGTCGTCAATGTTGCCGGCGTAGTAGCTGGGCGAGAAGCGCGTGCAGGACGGCGCCTGCTGGGCGGCGGCGAGCAGCGCGCGGTGCAGGGGCAGGTAGACGGCGGCGTCAAAGGTGTGGATGACGCTGAAGAGGGCCGTCGCCTGCGTCGCGTCGAGGATGGCTCTCACCGAGGCGGTCGAGTAGTCGGTGACGTGCAGCGAGACGGCCGGTGACCGCTGCGCGAACCACGCCTTGTTGGTCCGGGACAGGACGACGACGTGCACGTTGCCGTGCGCCACGGCGGCGTCGACAATGTACTTGGCCATGTCGCCGGCGCCGGCAATCGCAATGACAGTTTTGGCAGGCATGGTGACTTCGGTTGGAGATTGAGGCTTGAAGAGGTTCCTGTGATGAATGGAGTTGTATGTTTGCTGATTTCTGGAGACCATTCATCGCGGCCATGGCCGTTATATAGACTTGCCAGCGGAGTGTTACGGGACCTCTTTCCCAATTATAAATCCGTAACCTGACTATCGAGTCTTTTCTTTTTTTTTTCAACATCCGCGTTTGAGAGAGTCGAGACGCTTCCACGCCAGTTCGCAGCTTACAAGTTGGTCCTACTTTTCATGTCTTGGTAAGCCTCTCCGCAGGCACCATGTCGTCCGCCCTGCGCGATGCCAGCACTTGCGCGACATATTGATGGTCTTGAAGCACGCCTCCGACGGTGGATGCGCACTCTCTTTGGCTTGACACCGGGGGACGGCGGCCTCGGACCCGCGACTTTCGTGATGAAGCCCACTGGCGGCGGACCAGACACCACGACCTCCGCCTCATGCGGACTTGATAAAAACTCTCCGCAGCACCGCACTCGCCAAGCTTTGCCATTAATAATTTATGGTCAAGGTATGATTTGCTTGGAGCTTTTACGTATTCTTTCCGCTTCCGCAATTTCCACATAGCAATGGCTTTTGGCGACGCGGGTGGTGGTGAAAGCCGGAACGTGTGATGGAGGCGTTCGGTGAGTTATGTCGCATCGCTACGCAAGGACATGTGCAATCGGGAAACTCAATCGCCAATCACCATAAAGACAGACACAAGAGAGAAGTGCTTAATTTTCTAACCGCCCAGGCCAACATTGTGTCCCGTTGTGACGCACAAGTAAATTCTCGTACCCGGGGCGCATGGCGGCCCGTTGCGCTTGCAAGGAGGACACCGGCTCGTCAAAGACTACAGAAGCATTCGGGGCTGCGCGAAGAACAAGTTTCATTCGCGTAACAAGTCGACGATTGTCGCATAATGCCTGAAATTAAACGTGACGCATGATCCAGTAGCGACGACCGGATTTTTAAGCACAAGGCCATACCCCAGGAAAATAGTTTCTTACATTGGCATCGAGCGGGTTAGAGTGGGACAAGCGGCATTGTGTTTTCTGGTCAAAGACGCTTCTTGTCTCTTTTCGCATTGACAGAGGGGAGATATGTTTGTGAAACAGTAGCACAGCTAATCTTGTAGGCGCCAAGCAGGGCAGAAGGGCATTGTCCGGCCTACAGTGTGCGCTGGCGGTTCCATGCAATTGAATGGTGATGGGAAGCGGTGTGTGGTCGAGCTTGTGATGCGGATTGGCCGGTCTTGTAACGCGGCTTGTCTGGATAGTTGCTGGTCTACTTTGGTAAGGGGGGGGCCGCTGACTGGTCGAATCACTCGACGAGTGGCAGCGACTCGTTTTCGATGCACGATGGTGGCCTGATGGCAGAGATCCGTGGCCTCTGTATAATAAATGTACCTGGGTACCTTTACAGCAAGGAACGCAAGGAACAAGGTCCATGACGTCTACATTGGACCCTGGAACGGCAGGCGGCAGCGGCCTACAGCGGGGAAAAGTGCCCTAAAGCTAGCGAATGCGACCCAACAGGCGTGTGGAGGAGTCTGCAAAGCCTGCTGAAGAATGAGGGAATGAGGGCTGAAGAACCTCGGTTCTTGTGGCGCGGCGGCTCGGCAGTCTGCATCGAGGTCGCGTTCAATTCCGATCCTCGTGAAGAAAAGACCAATATTGTACTAATTTCAAGGCTTGGATAGGACGAGAAACAACATTGAAGCGAACCTAGCGCGACTCGGGCGGCCAACGTGACTTGCTCGCGTCATTCGTAGGTACTTAGGTACCTAGGTAGGTACCCAGGTACTTCCATATACGTGACGTGCCCAGCCCAGCTCAGCCACAATGCCCTCTTACACCAAAGGTGTCGCACCGGCACCGCCCGCAACGTTTTCTGTCGTTCATTGTCCCGGGCCTGTGTCACGGCCGGGAAGAGAAAGGGAGCAAGCAAGGCACGCCGCCCATCTCCATTCCTCGGTAACACCAAGCAGTACTCGGCCGTCGTCGACAATCACATAAATGGCAAACTCGCGCGCCTCTCGACGTCTGACCTGTCTCAGACTTGTCAGCCCAACATGACTCCATCAACAGGGCACCTGCCCCCGCCGCAGCTGTGCCCTCTCGCCCTAGTCTCAGTCGTCTCAGTCTCTATTCCGAATCCCAACAGCGCCACACTACGCATACCACCAGCTTAACGCTTGACGCTTGACCTTGACGAGTCCAGGGCACCCCGCTTTTTTGGTTTTTGCCCATCAGATTTCCTCGTCTCTCCGGCCCTCGACTAGATTCTTCCTCTAGTTACGTTTCTTGTCCTCTTCAAACGCAATCTGCTTGCCCCTCCTCTTTCATCCCGTACTTCCTCAAATCCCCCCCCCCAAACAACATCCCCTCGTACCTATATCGTCCTCCTGCCCCCCCTCTGTGCACGATCGAGACGCCTTTCCACCCTGGCTTCTATCAGCGAGCCCTCGCCCGCCCACGCACAGTGGCTATCCTGGACCGCTCAGGGATATCCCGGCGCAACAAGCGCAAGTTCCGGAGCAGCATGCCTCTCCGCCAGCGCCTTGGCCTCGGGGAATCGGTACGCTCCATCTTTCATGCTCTTTTTGTCCTCTCATTGTTTCGTCACTGACACAGCCGCCAACACAGCGACCCCCCTCGGACAAACCCTACCTGAGCTACTACGATGCCAGCTTGACCGTCGGTGACGTCAAGTCGCTTAAGAACGACTGGCTGACCGACAGCGTCATAAACTTCTGGCAAGAGTACCTCGAGCGCGAAACCCTTCCTCGCTACCCGCAGGCCCGCATCTGCCTCCTCCGACCCAGCATCACCTTTTTGCTCATGCACACCCCAGACCTACACCACACCTACAGCAGCCTGCCCGACCTCACTAATATCACACATGTCTTCCTCCCTATCAACGACAATAAAGACGTCCGCGATGGCCAGGGCGGCTCCCACTGGTCTTTGCTGCTCATCTCTATCCGCGACGGACTCGCCTTTCACTACGACTCCCTCCTCAGCGGCAACTGCAACCAGGCCAGCTTAGCCACGGACAGAATGGCCCAGTTCCTCAACCGCCCTCTGCAATTTTTGAACCTTGTGGACAGCCCCAAGCAGGATAACACCAGCGATTGTGGCGTCTTTGTCTGCCTCCTCATGCGCCATCTGCTCGTCAAGCGTCTGCTCGGCGCCTCGGCCACGGAAAAGGTGTCCATGAGCATGGGCAACAAGATGGTCGATAGCCACGGCGGCCGCAAGGAGATGCTTCGCGTCATTGAGAATCTGCACAAAGAAGGGGAGCGCCGCCGCTCGTAAGTTTTTGCAGCACACATGCGCGTGGTATCCCACACTAACCCACCATGCGCTCCAGACGAAGCACCAGTCCATTCACAGACAAGACGCCCCCGCGCGTCGATTAGAGCTCGGCTCGCTGGGGCCCGCTTGATCAGTTTGACAAGCTCGTGCGCGGTCCATACGGCAGCTACGCGGAGTCGGCCTCTGACGATGCAGACGAGCCCCACCGCTCTGTCTCCTCGACATCATCCTTCTCCTCGGACCACCCCGTCGCGTCTGGCGCCCTCCCTTGTCCGCCTCACACGATCCGCCGCCGTCGCAGAAGCTCGCACGACTCTCTTGAATCCAAAAACTCGTCTGAACCCCACTCCCCCGTGAGCCACTCCATGGCATCTAGCAAACCCGTTTCCATCTCACGCACCTGTAAACCATCCCACTCCGAGTCACCCAGCTTACACCCTTCGGCCTCAAAGCATTCCAGAGATGCCAGCGTTGATCACGACAAAAAAAGGACCCGAAAGGTCCACTTTGCACCCACACCCGAGACCAGCTCTCATTTATCCGGTAGTCGTGAACGCAGCTCCCGGAGAGTGGGCAGCTCCCATTCAGCCAGCGACGATAAACGCAGTT